ATTGGGAATTAAAATTCTTCGGTAGCGTGGAGTTTGTAAGACGGGTAATTTTTCGCTGTATTTGACCGTCAGTTTGTTAAGCAGTAGGGAATAAGAAGGCTTAGCAGTACTCAAAGAATGAAAGTCCTTCATTGTTAGGATGGGAACGATACAGCAGACTTCCGTTTGTTCGTGTTACATGAATATTTACTTGTTGATAATCCATGCTCTCGACGTGGACCTCGTATGCGTGTTCATAGTTCAAATGTGTGCCTCTTCTGCTTGTATTGTGAAATAGTGGCTGTAACGTTGTATTAAAGCTGAGATTATTTCTTGAAGTAACTCTTGGTGAAACAAAACGCAATCGTCTGAGGATCGGTCATTATTCGCATTTAATCTACCGTATTTAATTTTATTAATTTGTTCCTCGCTTTACAAGAATTTGTGCTGCTCAGGCGTGATGCTTCGATGGTAAAATTCGTCAAGCGGATATTTTCTGGTTGAGAAAATGATTAGAAAATATTCCCTGCAAAGAACTCTATAATATTATGCAGGTGATCCTTCGAACACTTGGCAAATGCAGCTTATGTATACCCATCTGGCGAGGTGTATTTTTTTCTTTTAATTAATTGATATTTCAGAATGCATCACCGTAATTTATGTTCGCTCACTGTCGTAGTTAGAGTGTACTTCTTCACCTTGGAAAACAGCACTTGTTTGCACTTCATATCTGTTTTATTCATTGAACAAATAGATCGGCTCTAAGTAACCATTAAAGTAAGAATCAGAAATTATTATTTGCCATAACATATATCATTGAGCATAATGTCTGTATCCTCAGTACTTCATCATGTTTATGGCAACATTGCAACAAGTTAGGAGTGCAAAATTTGCCTCGTTTTGATCATTTTTTTGTTATTATTGTCAAGATGTCTGGAATCAATCGTTGATGAAACCAGTAGGATACCACAGGTTATGATTTTTTTTAGGTGACAATAAATTTTCATATCCATGATATTTAGAAGGAAATGATGTGGTATTGACTGATTTTGTTGGCAAACGATATCTCAGGATTATAAGAATACTGAATTATACATATACTGTGGGCTAGTCCTTTTAAAAATTTTATTTTCCTTCAAAGAGAACTTTGTAGATCTCAAGTGGATGACCCTTGACAAACAAATCAGGAGGAACTTTGATCTTTATGATTCACTGTGTGGTATCCTCTATTCACCTTGAACATCTGCAGCTACAAGTGTAGCTCATTCATCCATCTTGCATGACAGTTGCCTGACTTGGTTCCATCCCAGATGCACAACTTAACTGATAGATTAACCCCCTGTGGAATACAACTACCCCCTGGGGTAAAGACATGCCTCATAAATCAGTTGAAACTGTAGGATTCCACTTAGTAACACTTGGAGGTGGAATAAATTTGATGCCAACTTTTACCAGCAACCAATGATAGCTAGAGATTCCCATGGCTAAGAATTTTTTCTTGCAATTGTTTTATAGAAATGTATGTAAAATTGTTATTTTGCTTTGTTTACATTATATTTATATTTTGTAACAAAAACCACTGGTAGTAGAGAGGATGCTGTTGACGTACATCTGCTTTTAAAAGCTTTTTTCTTTTTGTTACTGCATGTGTCTGCTCTGCTCAATGTGACAAGTTACTTGTATGTTTAATTTTTTTTCCTTTCACCATGAGCCCGGGATAGTAGAGGTGTCCTTAAAACAATATAGGTGTTTTATCAAAGTAATGGTTTATCTGAAAAGTGCTTTATTAAACAAGAGAGACTGTCTCTTGTAAGGGCTGCTACATCTTGAAAACTTTCCCAAAATTTTGTGTAAACTACCTTAGAATTGTCAAGTTACCCTTGGTGGTGAGAGGAAGGTGTAAATTTGTGCTCCAAGATGTGATCACTTGTAATCAATTGTTTTTGACTGACTTTCGTTGAATAACACTAATAAATTTCGGCCCAACATGGTTTACTTATGGTATTAGCACATCTACTTCTTTCATATCCTTCCTTAGCATTTAAACATACAACAGTGTAGATGGTAGGTATAGTGTATTTAAGCAAGACTGAGCCATTAGATATAATATATTACAAGGCCTGTAAATCTTCTAGGAATTGGTCAATGAGAGTTCTGTGGGTCCCCATCTGAATTGTACAGGGCACCCTTTGAAGAGAAAAACATGTATCATAAGTAGAGTTACTTGTACATGTAAAGCAAGATACACTATTGGATGGGATTGGATAAATGTGCAGGGTCACTTTGTTTGAAATCAGTTTTCGTCTTTGGCCTACCCTCTTCCCTAAGCAGTTCTTATTTTCATTGTTGCTGTAATTTGACTTCCCAGGAAGTTCTAGGATATTTGCAACTGTTAACTGACACAGCAATTTTTTTGTGATGATAATAATTTATTGCTCAGTAAAATAACACTTTGTTTAACTGCATTCAGTCATGTTATTTTTTAGCACAAGTATGTTGTTTCATATCATTTTCCCTCACATATTTCCATACCTGCACTTGATTTTCAAGTAGCACTAAATATTTACCTTGGTTATGCCGCCTCTTTAAGATATTCCCTTGTGCCACGCATGACTAGAGAATCAGTGACAGCTACATCTTTCCTATTCACTCTCTTGAAAGAATCTGCTCTCAGGGCTGTCACTGCTTGTCGGTTCAGAGGAAGGGCTTCCAGTGGAGCTACCATGAGCATTAACCCTGGCTACTTTCATAGGGAAAGAAAAGGAAAATAGAGCCAAATGAACCTCTTGGCTGTTCAATTATTTTCTACGTACTATAAATTTCATACACCCTGCAACTTCAGATCTTAGTGATGGCCCTGACTCTAGAAATCTTACACACAACTACCCCCTGGTTATCTCAGTTGGAAGATTGTTGGATTGCTGAGTGGGAGGTCGTGGGTTCAAACCTCGGCTTGACCAACACTCAGGGTCTTTAAATAACTGAGAAGAAAGTGCTGCCTTTGTAATGACATCTGCAAATGGTTAGACTTTCTAGTCTTCCTGGACTAGGACAAAAACACGCAGGGCCTGTCTCAGAGCACTTTCACTTATCTGGATATTGTGGGACGTAAAAGAACCCACACCACTGTTCGACAGGAGTGGGGGACATAGACCCCAGTGGTGTGGTTAACCTTTCCTGGGCTCAGTGGGTTATGTGTAAGGAGAGATCTTAATGTAGGGTTAACCTCATCATCCTCCTTCAGGAGTCATAATGGCTACTTGTAAAAAAAAAAAACAGTGTATGTATTTAAAAGAAGCCAGCTGATGATACTTTTGTATTTACGTTTTTAAGGTACAAGTGTCCATGCAAGTGGTTTAGTATCACCTACAGAACCCAAGCTGTTTCCTCATGCTGCTGTACTCATGACATCCAATGGACACCCTGTTTTGGTACCACAGCCATTAGTTCAAGGAGAAAGAGGAGTCAATATCCCATCACCTTACCTAGCACAAGCTAGTGTTTTCTACACTCCACACTTCTTTCCAGCTCAACATTTTGCAGCACAACGTGCAACATTGCAGCAGTATGCTCAGGTTTCTCCACTGTTACAATTACATGCAAACTCACCTTTACCAAGAGAAATGCACACATTACATAATGGACTTGGAGATTTGCACAGTGTGTCTCCTGATGCAAATGGCAAGGAAGGAGCGGTCATGAACCAATGTTCAGTGCAAGAGTCTGTCATAGTTAGTAACCCATCGGCTAAAAATCGCAGGCAATCTTATGCAGATCTTGACTCAGTTTCTTCCCCTTCCCCTATTGCTATGCCAGCACTTTCCCCATTAACAGCAAAGACGCCCTCAAGCCCTGGAACCCCTCAGCAAGCTGCATCTTCACCCGATGAAGTGGAAATTTGTGTAATTTGTTCTGATAAGGCTACAGGGCATCATTATGGAGTCACAAGTTGCGAAGGCTGTAAAGGATTTTTCAAAAGAAGTGTTCAAAATAAGAAAGTTTATTCTTGTCGCAATTTGACTCAAGACTGTCCAGTCGACAAACGTCATAGAAACCGTTGCCAGTTCTGTAGATTGCAGAAGTGCATTAAAGCAGGCATGCTCAAAGAAGGTCAGTGGAATTCACTTTCACTGAACAAGTGAAAATTCATATTTTCATGATATACACATCAAGGAGATCGGGAATTTGAAAAATTTGTCATGACTTTGGGGAAAATTTTTCGTGTAACTTTCTGGAGGCCACATTATATGGCAAAAACGTCTCTTTTGTGAAAAATTACAAATGTAATAATGTAATTACTCCAGACCAGGTTTTGCTGAGAATACTTACTCTTGTTAGATTCACAACAACATTAGAAATTTTAGAGGTTCTATTAAATACGATGTTTTCAATGGGCAATAACCTTACACTTGCTATGCTTGTGATTTGGGATCAGTTGTTTGAAATCATGTTAGTGGCATACACTGTAGAATCAGAAGCTCTGTCTGAAGGGGTTTTCCAATGATGTGAATGTTTCAGATAGTACAAAATCTTGATGTTACACTAACAGTATTTCCCTTGTTAGCATTTGCATATTAATTCGCATATTAGTGCAACAGGAAGAAGAGGACAGCAAAATGTTTGTGTGTGACAAACATGACAGGGCTGTTATGTGTGTTTTGTTGTGATCTTCCCTTGATATAACTGTGTTCTGGTCCTTTACAAAAAATCTGTTCAAAGGAAGGTGAAGTTTGGCAGAAAAATTTTTTCAAACATAATAGTATTATTGTTCTACTTTGTCACACAAGGTTTGCCGTCTTCTTTCCTCTGACATCCTATTGCAGATTTCATTAATCTTTTTAACTTCAGTGCATTACTTTGAAATTATTACATGGCGATGTGTTTTATTCAGTTGTAATTGGATTATTTGCCAGCCAATCAGTGTACATCTCCTTTTTACTCAACTGTTAATGTAACAAAACTATTGCATTGAATTTCATAGCTGTACGTGAAGATCGAACCCCCGGCGGCAAACACAAGAACAATTCAAATTCAGCTGGTGCAAGGATCAAATCGGAACCAGCAGCTAAAATGGCTCGGACAAGTTCAACCGGCAGTTCAAGTTCAGATCGTGTAGATGCACCACTGACAATAAAGCCTCCCTCAAGAACTTTTCCTTCGTTTATTAAAGAACTGATGAAACATGAGCCTCGGTCAGAGGGGCATTCTGCAGATTGTCAGGGATGCAAAATCGAGGACACAGGACAGAAAACCTTGGCTCATGTTACACAGCGAGCTGAAGAGCAAATTAAAAGAAACCTGGAATGGTTCAAATGCCTTCCTTTTCTCCATAGCATTTGTGATAGAGACCAGAAGACCCTTTCAAAAAGTGCTTGGGTGGAACTTATGCTTATCAATTTAACTAAACAATCCCTGCAATTAGAGAATGGAGTCTGTCTGTGTGAGGGACAAGTTTTAGACTATTCAACCGCTGAAGTGACAGGAATTGGGGACATTATGCATCGTGTAATGCAGCTCACAGCAAAGTTTAAGGAATTGAATCTGGATGATGCTGAATTTGTTTGCATAAAAGTAATAATTCTTTTAAACCCAGGTACGGAAAATTTACCTGTAATGTATGACTTTGTAGAAAAGTGTCACAATTTATTATACTATTTTGTAGTTCAATTTTTGATTACTCTAATGCTTAGTTGAACTAATTCTCAGGACTTGACACTGTTTTTTCAAATTTTATAAAATAAAGTTTATTAAAAACGGGTAAAAAAACATACAGCCCCCACCCACAAGTAGTCTGATGGCATAGCAAACCCCTTCAACCATCTATTCTTGATTTCTGGTTCATTTGTTTTTCTGTTATTATTGTTGTTGTAGATGTCAAAGGTCTTATGGATCAGCCACTTGTGGAGCAACTGCAGGATAAAGTACATGCATCATTACTGGAATATAACAACAACTTTCATCCGGGTGAACCAAATCGCTTTGGAAACACCCTTTTAAGATTACCAGAATTGAGATCAATCGGAACGAAGAGTTTGGAACGTCTCTTTATGCTCAGTCTCACTGGACAAATCCATCCAAGCTTGTCACTGTCGGAACTTCTCCACTCTACAAAAAGATGACTTGTGTGTATACCAGGTTATTTATGTGCAGTGTAAGTGAAGTGAATGTAAGCTCTAAAACATCGACCGTATTTCAGCTGTTTCACTGTTACTCTTCTTGGTTAACTCTCCAGTTATGTGTGCAGGCATGTACATGTTACAATATGTATGTGTTTGCAGGTGTAATATTGTGCAAGTTCTGTGCCCTTCCATGTAATAATTTAACAGAGAATCTAGGGACAGTTACTTTTTTAAAATACGATGTACTCTTAGTCCAAATAGGGACCTTAAGATCTGAGGATGGCGACAGCATCAAAAACGTCATTTTAAAAGTGAAGTTGCATTTTTTCAATATGCATCTCAATTATTCCAACTCACTTTGTCAAATGTTGGTGAACTTTGCCGCAGATGATTCCTTAAGAACTATAATTATCCAAGCCCAGAAAAAGAAAGAAAATTTTTTGTATCAAGTCACGGCTTGTTTATGTCCTCAATAAAATGTGAAACGAGGCATTTTCATGTTGTAGTCATGTAGTGATGGTGAAGAAATGTACAAAAAAGTGTGATGCACATCCAAGGTTGTCGAACCTAATGGAGTGCTTTTGTGATGATTTCATTGCCATTGCCATCATTGGATCTTACCGTAACATCCCTAAAGTCACTGCTCAACATCTTAGGCCTGGTACATTTTAAAAAGCTGAACTTTCAAACTTAAATAGGAGCTAGATTGCCCCCTGATCAAGAAATGGCATGTTGATAGTATTATCCAAACTTGATTCAGTACTGTAACAGTTCGAGGTAAAATTTCCAAGTATAATATGTGTCAAATTTGGCATCCAAATCAAAATTTCCGCTAATGTTTATCGAGTGGGAATAATGGCAGTACCATTCGAACTGAGGTAACCCTCCTTAACTGATTAGAAACCAAAATCTTTTCATCTATTTTAGAAAATAAGAACCTGTTTCAAATTTTAGGCTTAACAGGTTCAGAGAGGGCTTAACTGGCAAATGTTAGCCTAACAGGCTCTTAAAATCTGGGTTGGGGTTTTACTGATAAGGTAAGACTAACCTACTGGACTACAGAGCGCGGAACCTGTGGAACTTAAAGAAATGTCTATCTTTCTTTCATGATATCAACTCAAACTAGCACTTATTTAAATGTACCTGTACATCACTTGAATTGATTACTTTGATGGTACAACCGTCTGAATTTCCTGTTTCCTATTAACCATGTGGTTATTTTCCCATTCCTTATGAGGTCACGTGCTGCTATTGCTAACTAAATGGCCAATGCTTTAATGTACTGACAAGAGAAATTGCTAATGCTAGCAAGTGGTTAATGCTTAGCATCAACTTCATATGATTTATGCTTCTGTTAACTTCCAAACCTAAGCAAAAAAAAAATTGGAATCTCTCATAGGCGAGAAAAAATAGGCAATTGCTAATTGTGACTTGTCACACAATCCACCTTCCAAGGAATTAGTTATTTTCATGCTAAGCACCAGTAAAAAGGGTCTCGAAGCTCTTGTGCATGCATTATCCTAAATGTATATAAAGAGAGTGGGAACAGGGAAATCGTAACTGGAAATGACACCTGAAAAAAAATTGAGCGGATAGCAATGTTGCGATATACATGAAGTCAAGTTTCAACCAAAAAGAGAATTATAGTTAGTAACTAATACCAAAGTAGTTTTTGTCATTACATAGAATTTTTTGTGACATATTTTTATCATGTCAACCTTATAAATGTACCTCCAAATGCAGTTGCAATAAAAACGGTAGTCTCTTTAAGTTCCACTGGATTTTCAAGTTCCGTGGTTGTACGGTCTGCAGGTCCATATATAGATTAGTCTTACATGCAAATATGAAGTATGTTGTACATGTAACCATCTTTAAGGGGAAAGAGAAATGTTCAGCAACAGTACATACAAGCATGCACTGAAGGGCAACTGTATGTCAGTCTGAGTGAATAGTATTTGCATTGTAGATGACAACTGTGTTAAAATCCTAGTACTGAATCAATTTGAAGAACTTTATTTGTTTGGTACTTTATAATCACAAGAGCACTGGCATTTTCTGATGAGATGGTATGAATCTTATTTTATCTTTGACTCTAATTATTAAGGCTTACAGGGTTTTAAATTCTAGGCACTTCTTAGTATATAAATCTTTCATGAGGATTTTTCTGAAACAAAGCAAATCTCAGATAGTATCTTATTACCGGTTCAACACTAGTGGCAGTTATTTGGGTTTCTCCAGCCCTGGCTAATACGTTTATTAACAAATTTTATGAAGACATCAGAGAGATTCAGGGTTAGATATTGCATGTCCTATATTTTATGCTAAATTTTAAAATTGTGACTTCCTCCTGCTTAGAGTTAAGCAGAGTAAGAACCCTTGAAAACGATACTTTGTAGTCAAAATATATGTAATAATCGGCCAGACATACTTTTTGTTAACCTAAATTATCTTGGAAAAAATTAGTCCCCCAAGATCAATTTTTTTATTTTAGATATCTGTTTCTTGTTAGACGGATATCTGGGAAAATCCTGTACAAATTGTAGGCAAAAGGTTTGAAATAGTTAAACATTGAACTGGTGCTAGTAAAAAAAGCCTTGATGAGTGACTGCTGAAAACTGCTTGATTCTCCTCCAAATTGCCCTGTATTTGCTTGCAAAACACTGGGAGAATTTGATGATGTGTCGTTCCAGAAAATATCCACACTCGTCCATCTCATAGAAGTTTAATTTTGCTTTGAGCAAAAGACTGTCTATGACCCCCTTGCGCTTCCCTTCCCCACGAGGTGTGGTTTCCTGAACCACACAATAAAGCAATAGTCACTTAATGGCCATTTTACCATGCACCCCTTGAATTGTAGTTTTTGTGTTAAGTTCAAATAACTCCATTACCAGGCGATGATACCAATACAGGACAAAACATTGCCGTTTCATAGTGGCGTTGTGTCTTTTGGTGTATGGTAGTCCCCCCCTTAAAAATGGGGAAGCGGGGCTCCTATACACAGTTAAACATTAATGTTTCATATTAAATTCTTTCTCTTTGGAAGGGAAAGGAGCTTTTACTGTTTCAGCATCTGCGTTTAGATGGATCTAATATTATTTCACATTGTTAAGATGAGCTCACTGTTAGTGCGCAAAACATTGAAAATATTATAATTTACTGCCAACAAGCTAAATAAAAGTGAGCTATATATATTTTTTAAGTGTTTTACACTATAAAATATGTGGATAAAGAGTAACTTTAACTCTGCAAATGTTGAATAAATAAACATGTCAATTGAGAGGTAACATTTTTTCTTGTTAAAAACATGAGGGGTCATGTTACAGGTTTCATGTCACAGCAACAACAATTTTATTTTACAAAGTACATGTAACATACTATGCACACATATAGGCTTGATTTCCAGCCATTTGACACAATCAGGTTTTGACGGTACCCTCCTTCACATAACATGAACACACATAGGCTTGATTTCCAACCATTTGACACAGTAGGATTTGGACTGTACCCTCCTCCACATACCATGCACACAGATGATTGATTTCCAGCCATTTGAAACAATCAGGTTTGTACCGTACCCTCCTTCACATCCCATGCACACATGTAGAATTGATTTCCAGCCATTTGACACAATCGGGTTTGGACCGTACCTTCGTCCACAAACCATGCACACATAGGATTGATTTCAAGGCATTTGATGCAATCAGGTTTGGACCGTATCCTCCTCCTACATGCAATGCACACACATAGGATTGATTTCCAGCAATTTGACACAATCAGGTTTGGACTGTACCCTCCTCCACATGCCATGCACACACACAGGATTGATTTCCAGCAATTTGACACAATCAGGTCTAGATTTGGACCACACCCTCCTCCAAATGCTGTGCACACACATACGATTGAGTTCCAGCCATTTGACGAAGAAAATCAGGATTGGACTGTACCCTTCTCATAGGCTTGATTGTGAGCCATTTGACACAATCAGATTTGGGTCATACCCTCCCCCACATACCATGTACACACATAAGATTGATTTCCAGCCATTTGACACAGGCAGACAGGTTTGGAACATTATCCTCCCCCCACATGCCGAGCACACATATGGGATTGATTTCCAGCCATTTGACAAAATCGGGTTTGCATCGTACCCTCCACCACATGCCATGCACACACAGGATTCATCTCCAGCCATTTGACAAAGTCAGGTTTGGACTCTACCCTCCCCCATGTGCCATGCACACATTTCACACATTTCGAGCCATTTGCTGGTTCCCTAGTCTCTGCTGTGGAAGGTTTTTCTCTGCGATGATACTCAGGTTTTCCTCTCCCGATAATTCCGATTTCTAATATCATTCCATCTGTAAAGTTCTTTTATATCCCATTTTTGACAGAAACGGTACCCCTTTGGTATATATTGTAGCTAATTTTTTATCTCAGGTAATTTTTATTTTTCCTTTGTTTCAACTTCATTAGCATACATAATTTACCATACCCAAAAACAAAAGAAAAACAAAAATTACCTGAGGTAAAAAATTAACTACAACATAATTATAACTTCTATTGACAAATGGAACTCCTTTCATGTAAACTTTGCATTCCCTTTATCTGTTGTAAATGTGTTGTCCTTAAAATATGAATAAATCACAAAATCAGAACGTTTTCTCAACTTTTTCATAGCTGCCATAAAATGTATCTGTTAGCCCTTTTGGGTCTTTTTACAGACCAAAATGACAGATTTCCCAACCCTTCCATTTACTTCGTATTCGTGCCCTTTCATAGCCCTGAAGCCTGATAAAGGTACCCCTGTCAGTCATAGCCTCCCCGTGTAGGCCATTATAGGGAGTGCCCTGGCCCCCTCCCGCACAGACCAGGGGTTTACTGGTCCTTGGAACTGTCTTATGTCTCCCTCTATACCAGTAAACAAACTGTTAAGTTTGCCGTTTTTAATGTCCTAAAACAGACAAAAAAATGTTGCGACTGAGGATATTCAGTTGATTTCCTTCATACACGAATGTACTGAATGGTTTCATTGGGTGTTGTTGGCAACTGGCAGGTTAATTACAAACCTGATACAGGGACTCTCCCGTTTTGTTTCTATCACGTACGCGCCAGAAGTTCATTAAGTTTCAAATTCAGGTTCACTTCATCACAATTTAAAAGTATAAGCACACATAAAGGCACTTGTCCTTGGAGCATGAGCCCTTAAGTCTCCCAAGCCTTGTTTGTTACTTCGGATCACTGTGACAAGCGGTAAAACAAGCTTTTGTGTTTCTTTACAGCGGTCAGTATTCAACTTCTCCACAAAGTTATAAAATCCAAAGTGGAACACCAACAATCAAGACTCAGTACTGCATGAACTAAAATAATGTAGTGATTATTATCCAGGGAGTTGAATGCTAAAACCTTATCAGTCATATTTCTACTGTATTTGCTGTTTCCTCAACATTAAAATAATTTTGGTGCAATGTAGACCCAATGCAAAAATGGCTGCAAGATTAACATTCTTTTGTTTGAATAAAGTTAGCCTAACTAGCCTCGTTCTCCAGTACAAAATTCAAAAGAATACATTATCTCAAGGGAGACTAGTTAGGCTAATTTAAACAAAAGAATATTAATCCGGCAGCCATTTTTGCAATGGATGTATTGAATTTCTGAAAGTAGATAAACTGGGTGTAGAAAAAAAAACATTCATTCTTTATTGTTTTCTTTGCGCTAGGAGTACAGAATTCATACAATTTTCCAACTAAGTAAACATCTAAACTAACATTCAAAGTTATAAAAGGCGCTTATCTTAGTGCTTGAATAAGGGCCCTTTGTAAGGATTTACAGCACTCAGAAATGAAAATGTTCATTCTATAAATGTCCTTTTCATTATCTCACACTAACTAGCTATAATAATATTTATTTATTGTAATATTATTACAGTCGAACCCCTTGTAAACAACAACCCAATGTGAAGATCCGGTGATCCTTTAATAGGAGGTTGTCACTTACAAGAATTGTCTCTTTGGAGAAGTCCAGACACACTCACTTTTCAGAAATTTGTATTACATACAATTTCTAAGTTATGATGTGTTCTAGAAGTTGTTCGTATACTCTGAACCGTATTGACTTGAATTTGGGCTCTAGTTGTGTATGCATTTAATATTCTGTACCTCTAATGTAACAAGTATTATCATCTACATATTTCATGGTTATTACATAACACTGCGATAAAACTACTTCTACCACATTATCACTGTTAAGCATTCATAAGGGTCTCTGACCTACACGTGAATAAGATACACTTGAATAAGATACAAGTTAGAGCATATTAAATAATTATATTTCTCTTATAGAAAATAAGGGAAAATGATGTACATGTTTGTGTTCATGTGGAAACGTTTGCCCATTGATGAGCCAACAGTTGCATAAATTTTTTATTTAGTTATATACTAGGAGTAATCGGAGCTTAGGAGAGTGCATTCAATATGTTTGTTAGGTGTACAGGTAGCAGTTGAGGGGGAAGAGTGGATGGTTCTTGCGATAGATAAATATGATTATGGCATATCTTGAACGTAAGGATTTTGTACAGCGAAATTTATATATTAGAACCTGACATAGTACTTAATAATTTGCTATTTTGCAAGATACTTGTATGACTATCAAACTTTGCCATTCTTCCTTATTTGCAGATTTTGTGTTTGGATTTGTAAATAATTTCACTCTTACACCACATTTTCAAATAGAGGACATTACATAGAGTGAGTGGAATAGTCTTAAGCCCCCTAAAGGAGAAATTTTGCATCTCCAAGTGGACAAACATGTAATGTTCTGTTAAGTTGTCATATAAACACCAATGAAATACCATACCATTTCATTTTAATTTTTTTGGCTGCAAAAGATGCAATAATAATTTATTGACATGTAACCCTAGCAACAGCGATGAAGATATCATGTTTTCTTGTGAAAGTTCACGTGGTATTTCATCAGTGTTAATAAATTATTTCTCATGCTAACTTCTAAATCAATATGTTGTTTTTTTATAGGGCACAGAAGGCATGGAAGGGCAAAGTGCAAGGGGGCAAGGAGGCCTCCTCTCGTTTTCTGCCCTTGCATGTAGGCACGTCCTCAAAATTTCTCCTTGCAGCCTAAAAAAAAAAACAGAAAAAAACCCTGATGCCTGCTATAACATCTGGGGAGGAAATCCTGTGGTGATGCCATTCAAACCTCACAAAATTTTGCATAGTACCTCTGTATCTTGGGATTAATTGTTACAAAAAGAAGTTTGATTCTATTTGTGCATTTTTTAAAGCCTTTATCAGTGAAATGGTTTAAAAAATATCATCACAGAAGGAGTTTGCTTTAGCGACCCCAACCTCCCTCGACTCCCCCCCCCCCCTCCAGCCCTTTCCTCAAGGTCTGGTTTTGCCATTACAGATAACAATCAATTAGTCACTCTTGCTGCAGTGCACATTATTTTGTTCAGTAAAATGTATTGTCGGAATTATAAACAGTATAATAATTATTCATTAATCTAATAAATTTAAAAAAACAATAATTAGATTCGATTTTTGTGATATGCAGAATAATCAAGGTCGAGGTAAATGTTATTGGCCCAACGCCTCAACCTTGATTATTCCAGATATCACTCAAACCTCATCCTATAATTAGACACTAACACTACAGTAAGAATTTCATTTATAAATTTTCATAAATTCCTTGAACTCTAAGATTCTTGGGATCAAATGGAGCTTTTGTGTGCACCTGGGCTGGAAACAACTCTCCCATTGATTCAATGGTGTATTTTCCAGATTTTAAGAACTCTGTAGTTACAGGCTTGCCACTTGGATTTTTAACATATCCATAGGCCAGACTCTTGCCCAAAGCAAAGCTGTATTCTCCTCTTCGTATAAAGCCAACAACTTCACCATCTCGCCATATTGCTTCTAGGCCAATAAGTGATTTATGACTGTAAATCAAGAAAATATCTTGAAGTTACAAGTGGCACTCATCCATGAGAATGCTGCATCCATAATAAGTCACGTTTGTCTTAATTTTCTACTCAAGGTCCCTTTTTTGTGGTCATAGATTCTACCGGTATCTGTTGTGACACTGTTTGTTTTAATCCCTTCCTCATACATTGCCAAAACACACAAAAAAGAAAATTAAAACTAGTTTACACCAGGGATACAAAAGAACCACACCTTGAACATTATAGGGTAAAATTAAGAAGGGGAATGAGTACCGTAAATCCCCTATGAAGCCCTCTTCCCATGGGGGCTTCTTCATTTAAAGCACAATTGAGGGTGGGGGAAGGGGGGAGGGGGGCTTAATGACTTTACCAAAATGGGGTACCATACTCGTTTTTCAAACAACCAAAAAATGGTATCAATTCTCGATAAACAACTAGGATGCATAGTGGAAAGGCTTAAGCACATCACTTTAGAGGTCTTGAGGCCAAATTAGATGATAAGATCACTTCACAGTGAATAAACCATGGTGGATCACTATTTTTTCATTAATTTGCAAGTGAAGAATAGGGAGAGGGGGGATTAAAAAAGAGGGGGAACTTAATAACTTTCTTCCCCCGTAAATGGGGGCTTATTTGAGAGTGGGGCTTATAATAGACGATTTATTACATAAACACCAATGAAATACCAGGTGAGCTTTCGCATCAAACATGTCTTCACCTGTGAAAATAAAATGTTATCTTCACAAGTGAACTATCACTGTTGCTATGGCTACATAATACAATGGGCCTTTCACAGCAAAAAACTGTTTAAGTGAAATGGTTTGGTACTTCATTGGTGTTTAAATAATAAATAGAACACAACATGGCCACTTGGAGATACGAAATTTCTCTTCTCGTGTTGAAAAAATATTTCACTCGTTCACCGTGCTCACTCGTGAAATACTTTTCAACACTCTAAGAGAAATTTTGTATGCTTTGAATCAAATTAATATCTATGAATGAATGAGATCTGTAATGTTTTGAAATGTTTTACATTAATTAGTTGAATTGGTAATTAAATTTAGACTAGTAGCTTTTGCAATACTGTAATACGTTTATGGTCATGCAAATAAAGCTTTTGTTGTTACTGTTCCTTATAACAATAAAAATACTTACTCGTCAATGGTAAAACAGACTAATTTTTTGCTGAGACCTTCAGCTTTTTGCTTCTCAAGAGCTTCTCGTCCAAGGAATGGAGTATCTCTCTTGAGTTTACAGGTGAAGCCCAGCCCTGCCTCCAGCGGGGTGTCATCATGCCGCAGATCCTGATGCCAATGTTTGTACCCCTTCTCCGCACTCAGTGAATCTAGAGCTCTGTAGCCACCATTGACAATACCAAACTTTTCTCCTATCCCCATGACAGCCTCATAGACAGGCACGCAGGAATCATTTGGAATATGCAACTCCCAGCCAAGCTCACCAACAAATGTCAGCCTAATTGCTCGACAGTCATGGCCTGCAACATTGATGACCTTGTGAGTGGAGAAAGGGAATGACTCATTGCTGAGATCTGCTGAAGTGAGACTCTGCAGCAACTCCCGGCTGAAAAATAACAACATCAATAAAAAACAGCAATAACATTGGATGGTACGGCCAGTGAAATTAATCTGTATAAGCAAACACTGGTAGCACTTTAGAAAGAGTATTTCACTGGGCCTTTCAACGTGTCTACCAATAAATGATGGCAGAAGAAACATTGCCTCCTGGTACTCCACCTGCTGCAGCCCTAATTTAACTAGACCCTTTGATGATTTTCTTCGAGTTTGATAACTAATTCGGGATTGTCTTCGATTACTTTGCATGAGGCAACACACCATTAATTACATCATTAACTGTTCTCACTGACCTTTTAGGTCCCTGAATACTCAGCATTCCCAGTTTCTCCGAGTTATCTTCAAGCTTGACATTGTACTCCTTGTCATGAATAATATTTTGAATGTGACACCAACTGTGCTGACCAATGCCACCACCAATAGCAAGGTAAAATCCATCACCTGTAAAAAAAGTTCAGCCAAACACTCACTTCCCAAGAAATACCAGCACGTCTACTAGACATTGGTCTACACAACATTGGTCCTGTTTAATATTCAAATGTATACCTAACTACCTAATAATAACAATAGTCTAAAAATAACAATTGTCTGCTTGTATTTTGTCTTTGTTGTTGCTGTTGTTGTTGTTGTTGTTTTCTTTAAATTTATGTTTTTTTTGCTAGTTTGTTTTGTCTTGATTTCTCTTTTGGTTCCGTATATCTCTAATGTACCTTTATATAGATGTAATATTGTCCTGTACATTCGTCCTAGGCCCTACAAACATTCTCAAATATATGTAAAGCTCAGTGTCATTTCTTCGTTTTATTCAAAAGTAGGTGGTGGTCAACTAGAAAGCTTTCACTACTTTGACCATCACACACATTTTATAACCCGAAATGTACAATTATTTTATTTTGCAATCATCTATTGTGACTATATTTTCTTTCTATGTTATTCTCTGTAAATAGTGTGAAATTAATGAACCTTTGAACCTAGATGGGACTTTTTTGAGCCCTGGCCAGACAAGCAGCATTCAAGCCAAAAGTACCTTGAAAGCTCGGTGCTGTACTGGAGGTAAACGTCCCAGAAAAATGTTTTGCATGCCCATAATCATTGACGACAGTTGGAAGCTTATAATCACTGCCTCCACAGCTGACCGATGATGATGATGATTATGTTAAAGAATAACTGCTTGCTCATCTCTTTTCAGTCCTCACCTTCAAATTTTGGTTTAATAACACTTGAACCATCTCCATTCTCTAAAACACTGACTGTAATATCAGCTTCTACTCCACCATCTTTGTTTGCCATACATGTGTAGGTAGTAGTACCTGTAATAAAATCATGATAACTATTATACAAACGAAATTAAGGTTAACATGGCTTCTGCCTAGATTTGCTCTCAATTTCCTTTGCCTCCTGACTGTTATTTAAAAATATTTTCTGTTACTTTCTTTGGAACGTTATTGCTAACGTTATCTAATTATGGTATTATTCAAGAACAGTCCCTCAAGAGAGAAGGGTTAATAACAATATTAATTCTTTCCAGGCACCATATCTGCTGTAAATTCCAAATTTTAGATCACAAACATTCATGCCAAACCCAAAGCAACATTTTTGTCCAATCTAAAATGTGACAACAACATCTTTTCCGCACCTACCACGTGACAGGCAGTTTCAGAAATGACTGACAAAGCGACAGCATATTCCCCATTGCAAGGTCCGAAATTGCGACCAGCTGGTCACCGATGCATCTAAAAAATTTTTGTTTGTGACCAGATTTTCAATATTAAGGCTAGCTGGCAACTGACTTTCAGTTCCCTGTCAACGTTTTGAACTGATGCTCAAGGAATTAATTTCATATTTCTCAATTGATTTCCAGAAGAAACTTACCCCTTGTCTTTTCAAAATTTTTAATCTCCATAGAAAAAATTTACAGCAAAAATGAAGGTGAGATTGACCTGTTAAAATGGCCTCTACAACAATTGTAATCCACACACTGTAATCAACATTTAGCTCATGTTTTCAGTGGTTTCATCTGCAAGACATACTGTGGGTGCATTGCTTGAACATGTGCTTTCCTGGCACTCTACAAATTTTCGTGAATGCTTTACTGTCAGAAGAACCAGAATGAGAAAGCGCAAAGATGTTCATTCATGGTTTGGACATAGCATGGGCTTCTCAGTCATCAGAAGTTGATCTGTTCAAGTCATCACTATTTTAATGCCTTTTTTTACATGGCAGTAAGACTTTTGTAATTGTTCATGAGTATTAAAGATTATGTTTTAAGCAAAAAAAAAAATGTCTTTAAGAACTTCGTTTTGCTTCGTTTTGTGTTTTGCTGTGAAGCAAAAATGTTAATGGACACTTGGTAGCAACCAGAATTTTCCATCTGGTGACTGGAAAAAAGAGTTCAGTTGCCACTTGGTGCCTGAATAAAAAATAGAATTTCAGACCCTACCTTGGAATGCCTCTATTATAAAATTATAAATTAGATTATTCATAATCATGACTAACTCCAGCGAGAAGACAAAGGAAATTGAGAATAAAAAAAGATTTCCGAGTTCCAGATATCCGGCCATTGTACTGCACTTAGGGCATGTTTGATTGACAGTATTCTGGCTTAAAAATAAAAGCAATTAACTCTAGAAATCATTTGTTTTGGCATTCACTGCACTGTAATGTCTATAAATCGCTGCTTGAGATAAAATGCTCGAATGTGCAAAAACTTTAAATGGTCCAAAAATTGGTACAAAAGATTTTTAACAAGAAAACTTTTGCATATTCTTATCCCGGTATAAGCGCAATCAAACACACCCTTTTAATAAAAGTGAACTCACGCAATAATATGACAGAGGAAAGAGAAAGCAAACCCTATTTGACTAGCATGACAATAATAATTATGTTTGAAACTTAAATTTCTACAAACTTCAACTTCACAGATATTTTTGGGAAAAACCAGAAAGCAGTCATGTTACAATGAAGATCACAACAAAACATGCAAGTAATAGCCCAGTGCTATGCTCACAGAAACATTTTTCCATCCTCTTCATTCTGCCATCCTATTGCATAAGCTTTTTAAAAAATAATGAATGGGTGCTAAATATGAAATAAACAGCTCTCACCTGGTGGTTTTGCCATGTTGTTAGTAAACATCCAATCAACAGCCTTTTGAGAATCAGGCCCAGTCAGATAATACTTCGCAAAGTACGACATGTTAAACAGAGCCACTCTTTCTCGGCAGCCTAAGCATTCTTTTCCAATCTGCAAAAAGAAGACAAAAAAAAAAAAAAAGGTGTGAGAGCTTAAAATCTGACCTGCATTATTTTAAACATGTTTATATTTCAGGGATACTAACTTCAAGAGATCTAAAATCTGAATATTTCTTTTGCATTATATCCCCAATATCAACAACTCCCAACCAACCTGGTCACCAAACTATAGCACGTATGTGTTTCAGAACATTATAGGAAGTCTTACATGAAGTACAGATCATTCAAACTGGTTTGCATTACTGCAACTATAAAATCTGTCAGTGATTAAATACAGCCACAAATGCCACAGAAAGTGTGAACCTTCTGAAGTATTATTCTGGGGCAAAACAGGGTAAATTTCAAACTAAAGCACAGAAAAGTTCAAAAGTCAATTTTACTTCGGTAGGATTGATTGATTGATTCATAAATCTAACACACTAAAACCACTGAAAATGAATTTATTACTAGACAGGTTCTGCCATATTAATTTATCATAAACCTTACATTGCACAAGTAGAATGGGTAGGAGCCGTTTCACCAGCACAAGCTCCACTGCAAGTTCCTAATTAATGCAACTACAAAATTATATCTGAAAGGATGATGTTTGTATGTAGTTCACAGAATTGACTTACTTACAATATCATGGTGTGGTGGAAAGTCAAATGTGTAGTCTTGACCCAACAGCGCATTGTATGTGTAATCTTTGTTCTCTTTTACATCATAAGCCCCATAATAGTCATAATCTTTAACCTACAAATATTAGAAAAAAAAACAAACAAACAAACAGTAGGCTGTTAAAGGAACACATAGCCATGCATGAATGAATTCAGAAAGCAAAATTTTTCCTCTGTTGCACCTTTGTCAGAGCCATCTGTCATATCAAATTGTGGTTACCGTAATTAATTGGCAAGGTGAAATTTGGAATAATAATTATATATAAATTCATTATCAATAGTGCGTCTAATATAAACAAAACTTCATACAATAAAATAATTATTTCAACATGTGATCAATATTATTAGTCATTAAAATTCACTAGTAAAAGTATTCAATTTATTAATTTAAAAAAATCTTGTCCCTTGGGCAAGCAGCTCTCACAATTTGCTTGCCTAACCAATATTTGGTTGATGGTTTGAAACCCTGACCCTGTTTAGCACAAAAAATTCTTAAAATACAAACCCTGTTTAGGACAACATGCTCAATTTTATTAACCTGTTTAGGACAAAGGACAAAGGACAAAATACATGCCATCTTGTTTGAAAGCCTGGCACATTGCATTTGTATACTTGGAGTACAAATAAAATTTAACAAATCAAATCAATTGTCCAGGCAATACCCTGTTGACAGACTCGCCAGAATTATATACCTTGTTTAGGATAGAGAGGTCAAAAACAATACCCTGTCCAGCAGCACATCACCGTAAAGGCCACACATAAGGGAATATTCCCCCTCCCCCACCGAGCGCGGGGCCACTTTTTACATGTCTTAGTTAATGATTTAGTATAGACGATGATTTGCCAGGACCCTTGCCCATTGGGCAAGTAAACTTTATTTTTATTTTATTAGCTCTGCCTATCCCCTGGTAGTATACAAAGAGAAAAGGAAAACCATACATGATGGACAGATGACTTTCCAGGTTCATGGGTGCTCTGGGTCGTAGTTATGTTGAAAGTTACTTTCCCAGTAAGAAAAATTTACTTGTCCTTGACTACTGGACAGAACCTTATAACAGAAGCCCTTATAGCTGGTTGATTGATCAGAGTGTTTGAGTCAGCTACAAAGCAAACTGATGTAGTAAAGACATAGAGGATATTACAAAGTGGCGCGAAGATATGAATTTTATTTTCGAGTGGCAAAACAATATTTTACGAACGAGCGCAGCGAGTGAGTAAAATACTGTTTTTGCCACGAGAAAATAAAATTCATATCTTCAAGCCGCCGTGTAATGTTCTTTTTATTATAATTATACACAAAAAGACATCGATAAAGCAATAGATTTTTATTCGCCAAAAAGTCATTGTGACCGCTCGAATTTACAGTACAACAATATAAGACATTGCTTACAATAATCTTGAGAATTAACACTGAGCTGAATAGGGTTCTACAATAACTAAATATAAGCAAAGCTTTGAAAAATGTGTAATTATAATTCAAAGAACGCAAGACGCCTACAAATTTTGGAGGGAAATTACGTCATCGATAAACTCACGTGTGAGATTATGGAAAATAATCCACTCGGGTCCTGGATGTAGTTTTTATGAATTTTACGAGTGGTATATATATTTTCCAGTAAAACACTCGTGTCTATATAATAAATAATAATATTATTTAAAAGTATCCATCCAAATTACTGAAATTTTAACACAATCTGTGGAAAATCCATTTAACTGTACAGGGGTTGGGTGGAGATCTTGTCAAGGGCTGATATGAAATATCTACATTTACCTCTGCCATGGAATTGGGGACAAACCATCCTGGTCTTTCCCAGCCATGCCTCTCCTGATATACACATCCCCTGTCTAAAAGAACCTACAAAAACAAGTACTGGGTATTAAAGATCCATGTTCACCCAAGCAGCTTTGCGTGCCCTGTACTCCAGAAAAATGATTTTGTTTAGTTAAAAATTGCAGTCTTCAGTGTGTGTAGAGTCTTGCTTCGGCCAAGTGTGAAAAGAGTGAACACTCTACCCAATCAAAACACTGAATTTGACAAAAAAAGGATTTCAAAACAAAAACACAAGCACGCAAAGCCACTTAGTACAGTTGCAGCAAGACCACAAAAACACTAAAAAAGAACTTGAAATGTGGCCAATATCAAGCCAGCTTGCCTTAACACTTGGCCAATAATGCATTTTATACTAACACGGTGCCACAAGAAAAAGGTTAAATCACTTAATTCTTACTTTGTTACTGGAGAGTACGGACATTTGATAAAGATGCTTTACCTTGTGAAAAGGATCGCATCGCATGTTCCTGGAAGCAAGTGGTTCATCATGAGGAAAAACCATGGAATAATTCTTTGCATAAGATTCATGACTTCTTTCTCTTAACCACTTCTGATCGGCTGTGATGGACGAGTGGAAACGCCTGTAAATAGTCACACAAAAGTCACTCAATCATAATCTTTTCCTCTCCAAGAATATAGACCATAAAAATACATATGGAAACAAGGAAGGTGTACGATAATAGCAAACATGTTGGATTCCAGATCGAAAAGTTGATATTTCATGTCCTGACCATACTGAATTATTTGCTTTTGGGATAAAAGAAAAACTTTGCTTTCTCCATCTAGATGTATACTCACTAACTAGTCTCATTAAAGAGAGATCGTCATTAGTGGCAGTAACAATGTGCAGACAATAAAATTAATTGTTTAAATTCAAAAGCTAAGGCTGCCTCAACTTTCCTGCAGTTTGAGGCAATTTCCCTATAATGGACTATAATGGGATGCTACATAGCTGCTAAGGGGTACCTCGTTAGATTTCTCATGGTGGGTTTAAGAGGGCATTTACTCAAGAACTGCTAATGATAAATTCAGAAGGGTGTTTTAAAGTATTAATATCAAATTATTATCAAATATTATGAATCCTCTCCTATTATGGGGCTTTTAACGGATAACAAACAAATGGCACAGAAAATGGTTAAGAATCCCGACTGGTAGGAGGTGAATCAGTTGCCTATTTTACAAGTGTGGCTGAGAATTTGAACTCGGGAAGTAACAAATCCATGTAGTGGTTATGGCAAGACTTAGGGCTCTAGATTACAAGTCTTGCATTTTTTAGTTTTATTTTCATGTGAACAGTAGTAATTAACAATGCATTTAAAATATGCAGAACATATGAAACCCCTGAATAATGAGAGGCTTTCACTAACTTTCTAAATTTCTGACAAAACAATTAGCGAATTGTACATAGCCTTTAATTTACTGCCTTACAATATATCAATAATCTTGAAACTCAAAAGTCATATAAAATGATGGTTAATCTCGAGAATCTCAAATTTTTAAAACATCTATTGAGTGGTATAAAAATTATTTGCTTATTTGTTAAAGTAGACCAAAATGTTTACAAAACCGCCAACAAGAGCGCCTCCTTACAAACTAATCAAATGCTGCTTTCTAGCAATCAGCTTGAGCTCTGTCCATGATCTTGCACATACCTTTTTAAAAAGGTTGAAACTACTAGGAGGTAAAATTTCATTTCAAAAGCACTTGGTTTTCTCCAGATAACAGCTGAACATCAAAATTGTCCAGGTTTAACCGTATTTCTAACCATAAAAACTCCATCCGAAAATATCTTGATAACGACAGATTTCGCTTAAACTTCTCGAACATCGAGGCAGCAATTGAAGGAAAAAGTTGGCAACATTACATGTAAAACAGGACAGTAAACAACCTTGAGTGCTATAGGCCATTTCTAAGTTCCAAAAACCCCCCTTTTAACACAAGGCTTAAGTGTAAAACCCTTCTTGTGATAATCAGTTTCATTTGCAGTAAATTTAACAAATAAATCATTTTCATATCAATCGCTTTGCACTTAGCCTCATTTTAAAACAGAGGCTTGAAGCAACTTGGAAATGGCCTATTGAAGAACATGTATTTTACACTTGGGTTCGTGCATCAGAAACATAAATAAGGAACAGCCAAAAAGCATGAACACAATCTTCTCTTAAGGTGATGGTACACAAGACAATTCGCAACGACGATTTTTAGCACAGTGTAGTGTGGCAACATTGCTGCGACATTGTTTCGAATGGTTACAACATTGTTCCAACATTCCAACGCTGTGTTGCGCTAAAAATTGTCGTTGCGAATCCTCCTGTGTAACATCACCTTTAACCTCTCAAGCTGCAAAATCAACAACAAATTCTCCAGACTAATTTCTTTACATTTCCTTAAAGACTTGAGAACTTTTCGTGATCATTTATTAACTCTCATAACCACTTCCATTAATTATGAACTAAAATTGTTATGAGAAAATTTATGTTGGTTACTCTTGGGGCTTCTCACCTTATATCATATCCATACATGTCAAGTTGTGGGTGGCCATCAATAACCCAATGTGCCAACTCTCGGCCACATCCTCCAGCAAGCATGATACCAGAAGAGTTAAAACCACATCCATGAAAAAATCCACGCAGCTCTGGGGCCTCACCCATCAGTGGCTTGTGATCAGCTGTAAAGGATTCTGGGCCACACACAGTTGATTTTACACCAGTTTCAGCAATAACTGGTACACGATTGCATGCACCCTCTATATGGGCACTGAATACATCCCAGTCCAGATCAAAGAGGGAGAATGCAAACTTGTCACTAACCTGTGCATAACAGCAAAAAAAATACATGGGTACCAGTGTAAGCAAATAACATGTAATAATTGTCATAGAAGATGCTGATTCAGTATAGTTTTACCACTTTTACAGAAAGCAGCCATTCTTGGAAATAAAAGGAAATGGCACTATCTAAGGAAGCCTGCCAAAAAATCTTGTTTGATAGCCTGAGGCTAGTGGAGTTTGCTTCTGGGCTAGTAAATTCTTTTCTTAACTTGCCCGACGTGCAATTGAAGTTGTTTGAGAGAATCCAAATTACAGAAGAACTGTAAGTAGATCCTGCTCATCAAAATGTTTCCAAGGAAATGAATTTTAGGCTAGTATATGTACATATGCTAGCCTTACACCCTGTTTAAAAAGGAGTCAAAATACTAATTCATTTTATATTGAAGATTTTCTAGGATGCAAAATCAAATCTTCAGTGCTACCAATATAATTATATTGGAAAAAATGACCTTGTACAAATTTGAAATAATTAGATATGTATATTTTTACAATGACTACAATCTGTTGTGATTTTTCACCTATAAAAAAATCTGTAAATATTTTATGAGGACAAAAGAAGCAAGAGAGTGTTAAGGTTAAAGATTGGACAGTTCCTTTCAAACAGATACTCCTCATCTCAAACTCACCAAAAAATAACAATAGAAACACAAAGTTGACACATGGATGTTTAGAACACAATTAAAATAGACCTTTTTACTGATATGGCAACCATATTGAATTAATTAGATTTAAGGAGTATTATGGGATGCCCAGGGGGCATGAGCAGGATCCCATATACTCGCTCACTATTTTATGTGCTTTTCAGGCCAATTTTTCTTTATGTTTTCCTAGAAAAAGATTGTAATGGAAAAAAAAAGATTGTTGTGCTGTGTTTGGCCGTCATAATTATCGCCTTTTTCCCGTGAAATGCACAGTGAAGTTCTCTTTTTGCCCGAAAAGCCCGTGTAAATACTGAGCGAGGGCCCCCTGGACATCCCATAATACTCCTTAAAACTAATAATTTTAATATGGCTGCCATATCAGTAAAAAGGTCTATTGCTCTTACCTCGTCCCAGAATATTGGATTATTTTCATAACCTCCTACAGACAGTCCATCTCCTTGTAATTTAAGATACACAGAAGCGTCATGGTCTCTTACATTTGGCATGTTCTGTATTCCTTCAATTCTTTCTGTAACAATATATGCATGGTACATAGCAACTAGGGGTACTGTAACACCACACAGTGCACCAACATTAGGCGCCCACACTCCTGTGCAATTAACTACACAGTTTGTTTTAATAGTTCCACTCGGAGTCTGAACTGCTGACACTCTCTTCAGTCCTAAATCATCCACTTTTGTTTCAATTCCAGTCACAGGACAGTTCTCATATACCTGGGTAGAAAAATCAGAAAACAAGGTAAGATTTTGGAACTATGAGTGATTAACTGTACTGTAGCAGAAAAAATGCATTGTTATTTTTGCCCTGAACAATAAATACATATAGACTGGTCATTTTCCAGAAAACGAGAACACAATTTATCCGTGTTTTTATGATATTCAATTCAGCATAAGGTGCTTTGTTTTACTAACAGACATGCAGAATTGCATGTACCACTGGGTTAGAAAAAAACTTAAATTCCAGCTTGTCTGGTCTGCCATAAGGATAGGGATTACCGGCGATGGCAGGATTCACTGGAGGTGGAGCCCTGCTCCTCCTGATCCACGTGAAATGTAATTCCCACTCCTAAAGTATCAGACAAGACTATTCTCTACATTCCCCAGACAGATGGGATCACCAATCAAAAGCTACCTCCATTACTAAGGTGTATCACGTTGATCACTTTGGTATTCATCAAAATGTGCCGACACAAAAGCTGTTGGAACTGTTTATTAATTAAAATTAATTATTACATATTTTACAAGTAAGCAATACGTAACAGGCTTATATATGTTACAGACCATTGTATCTGCCTGTTTTAGTTTGACTCTCTATATTATGCTGGAGGTCAAAATAAAATCCAGGTTAAAAGCTTTTAAACTTGAAATATATTGATTCTCAATTTTGTCTCCTAGCCCTTCAATTTACATGAATAATATGTGGCTTGAAGAAAAGGGAAATTGAGAATTATCCTTGGTTAAAAAGCCTATAATATTTTTGTTTCAAACCTCAATGTGTATAATGTAAAAGTTGTTTTGTTGTTTCACCACTCCACCCACCTTTCCACCATTTTTTACAGCTGCTCTTGTAAGTGTGGTAGCCCAGCTAGCAGGATCAATGGTGCCATCTCCAGGACTGTGCAAAGTGCCGTACAAGTCATCTACATTCATCAATGGATACAGTTCCTTGGATTCTTTGGGTCCAAGAACAAATGATTCAACTCCATAAACCTTGCCAAGCTGTTTGGTTTGGAAACAATATAAAAACTGCAACTTACACCAACAATATATTACAAAAAAATCATATGTTGTCTTTTACAGTAAGCTGCTGTAACAAAAGAATGCTTAGAGGCCGGAAGCCAGCCCTGGGGCCCTGTTTCGTGAAAGTTCTTATAACTTTTTGGGCCCAAAGCCCAAAATTGAAATCAGAATCTAAAAAGTACAGTGTGGGACTTGGCTACCAAACCAATCCATTTCATTTTGTTAACTGACAGTTTTATCATAATTATTACATGTACATGTAACTGCTAAGCCATTGAATTCTTATCTTAAAATGTAAAGAAAACAGTTTTCTGGGGCCTTGAAATCACCAAGACTTTTGACAAATGGACCCCCAGATTTTTAACAGCAACAAAACAATGTTCATCTTTCAACTACCTAGTACACTCAACAACAAAGTTAATCTCAAGCATGGAACTTCACAAGTATTTGCACAGTTCATTCTTTTCATCCAGTACTGCAATACACAGGATTGTTAGCTCAACACAACAACACTTCCTTTGTCATTTAGTTTTAAGATTGTCTAAATGCATGTAGAAATGGCATTATATAAAGTTTACTTATCTAAGTCTCAACATCAAACTGTTTAAGACTTTGTTACATGTAATTAAAAACTGATTGTTGCTAAATTATGCAGATCTGCATACCCTGAACCTTCTCATATAAAATAACATTAAATCAATTTATAAGGGGATGTGGTCCCAGTTATATATATGTACATAATAAAAATTAATTGCCTGCACCCCTTAAATGTCACTCAAGACATTGAAATTTAAGAAAAAATAATTACCAATTATCTTTGTTTCAAATAAAAATCATAAAGTTTGATGCAAAATAATGTACTGCTGACGAGGTTTCATTTGAACCGTAAAACCACAGGGTTTCATTCCCAGCTAGCTGCAAGCATACCCACATCATGTCAAGTGGATATGGACAGTATAACTATGAAATGCTGATGATCAGGCACAATACCAATATCTAACACCTTAATACATAAAATTTTGGCAATAAACACTTTAATTTAGCAAATTTAGCAATCATTTTTTCTAAAAATTGTTACTGCACTTTTCATAAACATGCGAACTCTGAAGTTCAAAAACCAACTAACGTTTGTGTTTTTCGCCACCGTCAATCATCTTAACGGACCTCTTAGGAAACAGAACTTTGCTTAAACGGGTTCCAAAGGTCAAGGTTTCTGATCTGTGATTGGAGGATTTTGATCCGTTTTGTGTGTTTCTGTGTTTCAAGGTTCATTGCTTGTGATCGTAATTATGATTGACGGCAGAGAGAAACGCAATTGTGAAGGCGGCTTTTGAATTTTAGAGTTTGCGTGTTTGTGAAAAGCACAGTAAATTAAAATGCACCAAAATTAAGTGTCACCGAATCTAAATTGTTGCTAAATTAAAATGAGTGCAATATGAAATTCCACCATCTGATCAGTTTCACACACATGTGCTATTTTATGGTTGATTATTACGCGTATCATTGACTTTGCGTACCTTAAATATAAGTGAGGACAGCATTAACATGACATTACCGTTGCAGTTTCATTTGTTTCTTTCAAAATTAAGTTTCAGAAGGTTGCGTTATTTTGATTTAAGTTATTGACGTTTATGATTTTATCACATAACTGTTCTATTGTCATCATAAAAAGTTTTGAAATACCTTAATTTGCCACAGTTTCAGTTCGTGAAATTGTGAAAATTAAGTGACTTATGTACCAAAAGTTACGAAAAATCATTAAATTAAAGTGCTGCTAAATCTGGATTTTTCAAAATCGCTAAATTAACATGTTGCCAAAATTTCATGTAATAACATACAGTCTCATTCTACAATATTGTTAATAATGCTCTAATGCCATACAAAACTTACTGTCATTAGTCTCTTGTACTCATCCAATCTTTCCTTGTTATTGGCAATAAACAAGCCCCCATTCTCATTCCACCCAGGCCACAACCCTGTCTCCCCTTCTAAAATATCTTTTGCAAGTTTGCGCGTCCAATTAAGTAACTCCACCTCAACATCACTGGGTCGTAATCTCCACACAAGGCCAGCGCTATGCCAGGTTGTTCCAGAAGTGAGTTGATCCCTTTCTAACAGGACGGCATTTTGAACACCAAGTTTGGTGAGGTGGTACAGTGTGCTAGCACCAACAGAACCTCCACCTATTATTACAACATCGGCTTCAGCTTGGACAGAATCTGGAGCTCTTTTGTCTTCTGTCTGTTTTATAATAGATTCGATCATTACTAAGAACATCATAAAACACCTTAAGAGTTTGAAATGGAAAATCCCAGAATCTGAAATGCTCAAATTAGTGAACACAAAAATCCAAAACTAGCTTTTAGGGTAAGATTTTATATTTTGGGCAAGGGACCAAACAAGTGTGACAGTGCAACTATCCAAGGAAGGCAAAATGTTAAGTCATGGAAATAAATATTTTTTCTCAAGCAATGCAGGGTCCTAGCACAAGTCCAACCTGTCTACACAATGCGTGAAGTACCCCTGTACTGTAAACTGCCACTCATAAGCCCTGAGCTGGTACATCTTGGTAAGAGGTTTTAGTAGGGCTTATAATCTGAGGGGCTTAAATCCAGGGAGACTGAAAACCACAATAAAAAAGGCACACTCAAACAAACTGTAGAAGTGCTATAATATTCCCTGCTAGCAGAGGTCTCTCGCCGTGAGAGACCTCTGCTAGCAGGGAAGCTATAATAATAAATCAAATCCACTTCAGTACAAGCTAGAGGGGGGTATATCCGGGGAGCTTAGGCCCATTTCAAATGTTGTGCTTCTGGAGTGCCGAACTCAATTAATCAAATTAAATTCAACTTTAGCATGGCCGTTCTATTCATCTGAATTAAATCCGATGTCTGAAACCAAGTCATGCTAGTGTCGTGCTGCAGTTGAGCTACAGGCAAGCCAGCTTAGCACGGCAGTAGCACGACGTTTGAAACAGGCCTTATAATTGGATGTATTTAAATGTATTTAATAACTGGGAGGGCTGATAAGTGGTGTGGGGCATGCGTTTTAAGAGGCAGTTTACAGTATGAGTAAGCTTACGTTATGTTACATGGCAGGCATAAAGAAGTAACTGCAAAACCCCGGGGCTGGGCTGTAAAAACCTGATTAAGTGTTCAACTAATGTGAAATACGCCATTTGACACGGTAAACGAATTCCCACATCCACTCTGTGACAGGCTCTGTGACCCTTTTTCGCAGTAAACATGGCCTTTCTTACATTAAAAAAAAAAGGTTTTAGGGTTAGGGTTTGGGGTTAATGGTTAGTGGTTGTGTTTAGGGGTCAGGATTAGGGTTAGTTGTAGGGTTAGAATTGTGGAGGAGGATCACAGAGTGGATCTCTGATTTGAAAATTTTGTAGACGGGTGTCAAAAGGGATCTAACTTCCGAAAGTTCCTTTTAGGGGTCTTCGTGAAAAGGTCATTGTTTTTGAAGGTGGGTCAATTTGGGTCGAGGCGTTCCGACCTTTATCAAAATAATATTCACTGAAAAAGAACACATATAAATAACACAAAATGTGCACGAATTTGGGATCTGCCTACCTGGAGAGTCGTGTAAGGAACTCCAGCTTTTACGTCAGAGTCTCCCGCATTTGACGAGCTGTAATCTTTTCTCAGTAAGAGAGGTGAAAAACGACTCAGCTGACTAGCTGAATTCCACCTCGTGACGTCCTTAAAAACTTTAGAAATGCGCCACATCTCCCCTTGCACTCTGAAACGTTTTAATCTGCATACAAAGTGATCGCTGCTATTTACGCAAAAGCAACACGACGCGAGGCGCACCAGCAAATCAAAGCTTCTGAGCAAACTGGTCCCGGTGTACCGGACTGACCAGTTTTGATCCACGAAGGTTACTTACCAGTACATCAGGAAAGCGGAGCATAAAAGGAACGTTATCTTGAAGAAATGATTGAAAGAGAGCCTTTTTTCTTCATTTATGTATCATTTTTAACGCATTTCACTATACTTGAATGGGTCGCTGGGCTGGGTCTTTTCTGGGCCGAGGTACCGCTACCCTACATGATTTTATCGCTCAATATTTTGTTTAAGCGTCACGGAAAATCCCAGGATATTTCACATGAGCATACATGAATAGCAAAGGTTTCCTGGCAAATTTAGCTGTGGTCACACTACAGACTTTTACCTAGGTAAAACCGATTTACCTAAGGCAAATTCATCAAAAATCTCCCGAGGTAAATTCATCTTGGGTTTTGTTTTACCTAGGTAAAAATTCTGGGAAGGTCATACTAGTGATATCGGCTCCCAAAGTTTTCACGCCAGTTGAATTTTTTGGAGAGTAAATTCAAGAAGGCAAAATGTTAATGCGCAGGGATCTAGCTGATCAAAGAGACGTTTTTTTCTTTTATCTCGCTGTTATTTCTTACGCTAATTCAACGTTCAAGGTGAAGAAAGGCGAAGACGTAGACGACTCGTGCTCCCAAAATTTCTTTCACAGCGTGATCTATGTCCGGTTCTGTCATCAAGACCTTCGCCGATGAGCGTCTATTGGCTAGCAACCTCGGTATTTCATTTTTCCCAAGCTATAGCCTGTTCCAGGCGTTCAGATAGTGGGGAGCGATGCGAAGTAAAAAGGAGCGCGAAAAAATAAAAGCGATGAAGGGGGAGTCCCCCTCTACTTTTCATCGCTTTCTTTACTTCGCACCGCTCTCCACTATCTGAACGCTTGGAACAGGCTACCCAAGCTATTACTTTGGGGTAGCTGTCAAGGTAAACTCTATTGTTTTCGAGACATATCCAAGACCCCGACGATAAAATTTCTCCGAGGTAAGTTACCCAGGGAAAAATCGGTCACACTTAAAAAATCAAGTTTCCCTAGTATAGGTTAACTGTCAACAAGTCGTGTTTACCTAAGTAAAAAGTCTGTAGTGTTACCACAGCTAATATGGCGGACAAGGAGAATGGTTTTGTCCTTGGATTTTTCGAATAATTTCTAGAAGAATACATGCCATCAAATTCGAGCTACTTTGTTGTATCAGAACGCCATAGCGTGGGGATAATCACAAGCGTTATTAGCCTGCGTGGCAAGCGTTCGAGAGGGAAGGGGAAGGGAATCAGGGCGCGAGACCGCACGTGAGGGAGGAGGGGAACGCCTGAAAGGAATATGTTTTCGCCATTCCGCCTACTAATTAAAAAAATTACAAAAATAACGCAACCTGGTGAATGACTAGCTGTTAAATAAGTCTGGTCGCGATGCACGTCGTACCTTTTTTTCGCACTGTTTTTCTTTTGTTTTCCTACAACAAGAAATCTAAAGTAAACTGAGGTACTATAAAAAAAAGTTCAAATGCGGTCGTCCATTGAAGGAATCTTCTTTGAAAGTTGGAACGACGCGTGCCGAGTTTCATAGAATCCAGCATAACTCTATTCAAGTTGTTGCTGAAGAAATCGGACTGGAAAACTATTTAATAAGAAATGTAGCGGCTCTTCGCAACTTTCACTCTTCCGTCACACACTCTTTGAATTTCTATCAGGACGAATTGGATCCAGCGGAGTACACAGCGGGGAAAGAGGAGCTGAACTTCAAAGATCTGCCTCGCCGCACACGCTCTCGCGCGCCCAAATTACCCCTTCCCCAGCTCTCTTGGCCGTCATGTAAATGCCGCGTCACGCAAAAGCTTAGAAATTCAAGCGTACTCTATCACAAAACCAAGTACCCTTTTGAAGAGAAAATTTGTGTGAAAATTAGTTTTCAGCTGGTCTAATGCATCGTGAAAGTAAAATCTCCGGAGGATCGATAGTTTTTTAGTTTGAATTTTAGTGACGTCATGTGAAAACCAAGAGCAGTTTTTAGAGTCGTCACGCAAAGCTCCTAAAAACGGCTGTGTAGCAGACTTTGTAGGAAACGCCCAACAAAGAGGGGATTACTTCAGGGATGTAGTCCATAGTCATAGGCTCCTGTCATTTTGATGGGCTCCTGACTATGACCACTTTCGGCAACTAAGAAAAAATCTGCAGACTGGTTCGAAAAGGAAACTGTGCTGAAAAACAAATCTGCAGACTGGTTCGAGGAGCATATAGAGATAATATAATTTCTCCATCAATAGAAGAAGAAGACCAGCCCGAGTGAAAAACACCTAAAGGCCTTACAGGCTGCACGTATTAATGTGCAAAGATGCGTTAGAGGCCCGGGGGTGGGCCCGGTGGGGGGAGGGGGTACTTCGTTCTAAGAGGCTAATTGGGATGCGCCGCATGATGGGGTCGCATTTTCACGACTGGATTGACTATAATGGGGTCGCATTGTCAACAGAGTTACTAGAATGGGGTCGTACATTTTCAGATTTTTGGGGGTAAAAAAGTTCTTCATATTTACGGTTAGCAAACGTACCAGAATGTTTGTACTGTAGAGGAAAAGTAAAGCGTTCTTCATTCAATCTAAAAAATGGGCAAGTTCGTAAAATTAAAAAGTGACTATGTTGCGATCGCGAAAACTACATATTTTCCCAAGTGACTAAGATGTGGTCTATAATTGTCCACAGAATAGACTGTAATGGGTCACGAGTTCACGAACAACAATTATTTTGCGTTTCACGAGTCACGAAACAAATATTTACCTTTTCACGCTTCTCAAAAATAGAGGTCGTACAAAATGTCGAAAACGTTACATTAGTCCCATTTTTTAAAACTGAGTGCTTCGATGGATATTTAAACAAGTTAACTGGAGTTTTACGAACCTTATGAAAAACACTGCGCGGCTATAAATTCCCTAGGGAAGCCAGCTTTACGGTGAGTCTGAGCGCACTGAGGTGTGAAGTTACATCAAAAGACTCGAAAGAGAAGTTAAATCAAGCCACTAGATGCTAGTTAAGGTCGTTTGGCCAAATTAACGAGTTATTTTGTTCGATTGATCTCCAATGTACGTGTAAACAATCGAGGATTTTGGCAGTTCAGGTTTCACGGAGTGCACCTCAATCACGATTCACAGAGCAGTTTTTCAGTACATCACTATTCACGGACAGTAAAATAGTCGATCGCGGCGTCACGAAAATAAGCTTGCCTCCCTCAATAAAGACAATTTTTTAACGCTTCCCCCGCATCTGTCAATTTTTTTTGGCCAGCCCAAATCACTCCGGGTGCTGTCTGGTCCAGCCGGTGTGTCATACACTCGAGACTTTCGAGATTTGCGAGGTTTGGAGAAGAAGTGTAAAATCGTCCTTTACTGTTGTTTCCTTCTCCGCCTCACTCGTAAAATAAAAACAAAAGAGCTTATTAGAGGGCATAGAAAAATATTCCTTCCGGCGGACATGGTTGACCTTTTTTGTGTCATAGTTTTTGAACAGCGGCTTTCTTTTCTAATGCACTGACTTTTGGTGAGAACTTTCACCCCAGAACAATGGAAAGCGAACGTGTGGCTGTAACTTCTGCGAAGGTTCATTTTACAAGGCAGGGAAGAGTTTCTTTCTTGTCGTTTGTGTAAAATGCAGCATGGATAGACTGTAAGTACATGAGGACACAATTTGTTCGTCGAAAATAATGCGTCAAGGCCTGGCCACAGAGCTTGAACCTCAACACCGCCATCATGGTTCCACAGAGGTAAACATGGACTCAGATGCAGATGATGTAGATAAAGGAAAACACGACGGAGACAGCTACCAGATGGATAGAGAAGAAGTAGAGGATTTATTTAAGAAGCTTGATAAAAACAACGATGGAAGGATAGACGTTAACGAGCTTGCAGAAGGTCTAAAGCATCTGCATGGATCCAGATATAAAGCTGGGCAAGCTCAGGTTTGTATGAAACACAGCAATGATATCACAGCGAGGTTAAAGCTTCCTTTTCTCATTTATTACTCCCTTTGTTGCGTGTATTCTTTCCCATGAGTAGCAAGACTGAACAAAGGTGACCTCTGAGTTTGACCGTAGATTCGCAATATACTTGAACGTCTTTTATTTTATCACGAAAATATATTGTTTTGCTTTTGAGTGTGAAGCATTTTTATGCATTGTAAGCTTGCTTCTTAACTTAATTTTGCATAAATTGCAATATCCGTTTTGCATGCAATCTTTACTGAAGGAGAAAATTCCAAAGGAATATGTTTATTGCTTTTCTTCAGACATAGCCAATAGCAATTATTATATATGCTCTCAGGAAATTAAACATTTTTTACAGTATAGTCGACCCCTAGAAATGTTTTACAAAATCCATATTTACCCGGATACGCTTGGCTTGAACTTCACGCTATGATTCCAGCAATTAACATTTTAAATTTTACAGAAAGAGCATCGTTTTATAGTATTACATATGTTAATGTTTAATACCTTTAGGGTTAAACCGTTTTATGTCGGTTCCAGAAGGAAGTGATATTAATCCTTTCATTCCTAATACTGGTCAAAGAAAAAAATGTACCAAGAAAAAATTTGTGTATATCAAATTTCTTGTTGTAAACTCCTTTGAAATAAATAGTACGGTGTAAGGGTTCTTATTTACCAAAGGTCCTAAAGAGGTTTCATTGTTTTGAACGGTAACACCATAGGATTTCTTTCACAAACCTAAAAGTTTAATAGTGTGACAAATCTCACCATTAGTTGATACCATGCTCCAGGAGTGAAGAGTAATATTATAATCACGCAAATAGTTGTGTTGGGTTCAGAACTTTTAGTCTTTACTCTACTGCTACATTTGTATTTTTGAGTACAGCATTGGTCATGATAACCACAACAACAACAATCTTTACTATTAAGAAAAACATTGTTACATTTTATGGTAGCTCATGGTAAGAAAAAAAAATGAGGTTACATAGAATGGATACATTATGATAAAGGGGTTACTAGGAACTAAATTAACAAACATTCTGGTGATTTTCAATAAAACTTGAAATATGAACGGTGTACAGAAAACGAGAAATCAGAGGTTGAGATAATAATTATGTATTGCTACAATTATCGCTACTTCTGGCCAACGTTATGTGACAACATCAATTATTCAAAGTCACAAACTAGACCAAACAGTATTGGGTCATTAGCAAAATGGAGTCGCAGTGCAGCATGCAGTTTAGTTTGGGCGATCATTTTGATGCGTGTTCACTGATGGCATTTAGGCAATGATGTAACTTCCCTCAAATCGAGGCCCTTGGTTTACATGTATTCATACATGCCAAAACGCATGCATTGAATATAAAAAGTAAATACAATGAGGAATACATGACCATCAATAAAGACTAATAGTGCGAGGTAAATAGTGTGACATGCAAGACTAATAGTGAGGAAATCCTGTTTCATTTAAAGAGCCACGTTTTCATGAAATTGTTTGAAAGCAAGTGAATGGTGAGATGACAGGTTTCTCAGAATTTATGTAGCAATTCCTGGAACTCTACAGTAAAATAAATTTGCTCTGTTATTGCAGACTAACTTGGTAGTATGTATTCAATTGATAGATTGTTGAGGTTGTTAAGAACTTTTGTGGAAAATGTGAAATATATTTCTCACACACCTCTGGGAGCTATTGTCAAGCTGACCGCTGCCAACTGACTATTTTATTTCTAAAACTAACGCAGCCTAAGATTATATGTAATGTAGACAAAATACAGTAAAATGAAACAACAAATATGCTGACTATCCTAGTAAAGAATATCTAACCAGCAGAGTGTATGTTTTCAACTCAAACGAAGGGTTGGGTGGGAACTGGGGCTCTGAAATTTTCGTCAGCAATGGCGGACAGCAAAAAAGCAACTGACAAACAACACTGAGCACGTGACTCAAAACAACCCCTTGGGCCAAGGCCCCAGTGGTATGTGAGAGAACATTTTCTACTTACTTCGTTCCTCAGCCAGTGGAAAATACAACACATTCTTGAGATACTGTTAAGTAAATAAACGATCACCCACTTGCGTGTTCGTGTTCAGTTCTACTATCATGAAAATTTTTTCTTAAAACCTTCTCAAGACACAGCTACCCTTAACTGACTGGAGACTGCCCCTTCCCTCCCCCAACACAAACATGTTGTAAAATGTTACTTTTTAAACAGATTAACACAAAACCTTCAGTTGATTCATGAGTTGGCTCATAGAGTCCTTTGATTATTTTTGATGGCGTGACAGTGAAAACCAGCATTAGATTTGGAATTTCTGATTTACTATTCCACCTAGGCCACAATATTTAGCAATTATTGGATGAGGCTGATATGATTTGAAGAATTATGCAGATCTAGAAGGACATTATTATTTTGCTGAGGCCCCCTTTTCACCCTAGTCTCTCCTCCAGGGGAAACCAGGCAATACTTTCACTGTACCAAGGACTGTTGTTTGTAATGATAGTGAGTTATTGAAAATGTTTCTAAGAGGAAGTAATAGTACAAGAGGTGCATTCTAAAGTAGCTTTTGTGGTGTGCTTCACCCTTGTAGCAAATTATGACACTTGGTGATCAGAACCTTGATGGACACATGTCATTTGAAGAGTTTGTCAAGTATGTGACAGATCACCAGAAAAAGCTGTGGATTGTGTTCAAATCCATCGATCAAGATGGCAGTGGTATGACAAACTGAATTACACTCTTCTCCGTTTTCTCTGTCTCTATGATCTTTGTATTTTCTTCAAATGCTAATCAAATGTAGACTGAAACGGACTGTCTGTCCTTGATTGTCCTTCCAGGAAGTGTGGATGCTACGGAGCTCAAGAAGGCCTTTGAGAAGATGAATGTTCATGTGACCGACAAGGAAGTAGGCCTGCTGTTGAAAAGGTAGATTACAGCTGTAAGGTCGAGGCTGTGCACCCTGATGCTGTGAGATCCTGGGTGCCCAGTGTATGATTTCTCTGCAAAAACTGTGATTTTGTAGTCATCCAAGAGCAAAAGTTGGGCGCCAGGGGCCTCCAGGGCACTGCTAGAGCACAGCCTTGAAGATGTTAAGCTTTTAGATGCATTCTATGGAAATGGCATATACTCCTTTCAAATAGAAGTATGGTTCCAGATTGTTACCATAAGAGTGACTGACAGAAAAAGAGCAATGTTATTTGCATTAAAAAGCACAAGTTAAGTAATCACAAGGATTGATGAGCAGAAATAGATTGTAACTCATACAGGATATATTTGATTAAATTAAGCACCTTTTTTGAGTTGTAATTGGCCAATGACCAAAAAAGGCTATACTTGGAAGAACTGCGGCCATCTAGCAATATGTCCCAGTAAAACATGTCATGTTTCTGTTATAATATTTTATTTATTTATTTATTTATTTATTATTTTCCCACAATAAAGATTACACAAGCATTACATTATACAAAGATGTGGCGAGGGGACCTCAGAAAACCACAAGGCTTGTACGAGGAGGCCCCCTCGTTACAATAATATTAAGCAATAGAACTATAACAACACACAACAACGGACAGTACAAGACGCATTATCGATATAGTAGAAAATCAAAAACTTTCGTTTTAAACGATTGCAATGTAAAAATCGAAGTGACTGAGTTTGGTAAAGAATTCCAAATTTTAGGGCCTTGGAACAAAATAGAAAATTGTTTGGTGTTAGTTCGGCAGGCATGAGAACGGAAATGCGAGGAACTTCTAGTATTATAATTATGAATATTGCTACTAGTAACAAAAAGGTTCGAAAAAAGCGGTGGCAGTAATTGATGATAATATGAAAACATAAATTGTGCAGTATAGAATGAATTAATGTTGTATATGTCCAAAATCTTTAAACGGAAAAATAATGGTTCAGAGTGCGCGCGAAAATCTGCATTTGTAATAATTCGTACTGCTCGCTTTTGTAGAAGAAAAATTCTATTAAGGTTTGTTACATAAGTGGAGGACCAAACTGTGGTACAATATGTTAAATAAGGATAAATTAAGGTATAATAAAGAGACTTTTTTGTTGTTTCAGAAAGAAAGAAACGAGACCTAAACATGACGCCAATAGATTTTGAAATTTTCTTACATATATAAGTAATATGCGGCTTCCACGTTAGATGCTCGTCGATAAAAACCCCTAAAAATTTAACTACCTTTACTTGTTTTAATAAAACCTCATCGTACAAGACAGGATTTATTGGGAAGCCGACTTATCAAACGCTTTTGATAAGTCTAAGAATATGCCAACTGTATATTCGCTTCTGTCAATAGCAGTTGCAATTTTATTAATAAGATGAATTAAAGACAGCGCTGTAGAATATTTTTTACGAAATCCAAATTGGCAACAGTATAAGATATCTAAACGATCTAAAAAATTTGTAATACGATTGTGCATAACTCTTTCAAAGAATTTAGAAAAATTAGAAAGAAGCGAAATTGGACGGTAGTTAGTGAAATACTGGGAATCACCAGCTTTAAATACCGGAATCAGTTTAGCAATTTTCAGTTCATCAGGAAATACTCCTTTAATAAGAGACAAATTGATTACATTGGCCAAAGGCTGAGAAATGAGATCAAAGGTGCTTTTTATTATATCCATTGAAACGTTATCATATCCAGGCGACTTTCCAGATTTAAAAGAGTTGCATATTTGATTTAGTTCCGAAATATTAGTTGGATTTAAGATAAGCGACTCATTAACAGAAGCGCCAAGAAAACTACGAAAAGATACTTGTGTGTCTGGAATTTTCCTTGCTAAATTCGGACCTATGTTTATTGTCTGATTTGATTTTATTTATGTGTCAGACGCTCCTCATGTATCCTAGTGGCTTGTTTCTTGTAATTTCTGTTCAAAGTGACCAGAAAACTATGTGTAGTTCTTAAGTTTTCTTACGGAGATTACAAATTACTTTTATTTAGAGTACATTTTAAATAAAATTATTAGTGTTTTAGTTCGTAAAAGTACATTACATTAATTTTAATCCTTTTTTTCCAAACCTTCAGCATGGATAGGGACAAAACCTTAAAAGTAAACTGGAATGAATGGAGGGAATATCACTTGTTGAATCCCAGCGGACATAGTATGCATGATATTATTCAGTTTTGGAGACATCATACTGTAAGTTATGGCATAATTAGTTTTCAACTAAGGTATTAGATTTTGAATCATTCACGAAAGTGACTGTGCTTTACTTTTGTTCTTTTTGCTCTTTAGATATACTTTCTCTGGATGATTCTTTGATAAGAACGACTCGTCGGCTTCTTCACCCTACTTTGTTGTTATACTTCTTGTTGTCTCCATTTTTTCCATGGTTAGATGCATTATTGCTGTGGAGCCCCAAAAACTTGAAAATGGTTAACTCAAACTAATATTACATGTACTCTCTTTGGTGGTATTTTCAGTAAAATGTAATAATTATGCTGAACTTACACCCTTACTTAGTGATAGTTTTTTTTGTTTCCCTAGGGAGTTTGAGCTAGCCGTGTTCTACTGAATTTAATATGATTAAGTTTGGTCCAGCAAATTATATTGCTTTCCGAAAACATATGTGGTAAAATGATGACTTTTTGAAATGGGTAAAAGTTAAATAATATCGCTTGATGTTTCAATTTATAGGTTATTGATATTGGGGAGGACATGACTGTCCCAGATGAGTTCACAGAGGAAGAGAAAGTATCAGGGATGTGGTGGAGGCAGCTTGTTGCAGGTGGTGGTGCTGGAGTAGGTTGGTACAGTGGTTTTTATTTCCACACATTTTAATAATGTGTTTTGTGTATTTGAAGTAATGTCAAGGTTTTTACACCTTTGTTAATAAGAGTGTAGAGAAAGTAAGTGGAATATGATTGTCCAGGTGGGTGTGGTCCTGAATAAGCCTGTTTTTGTCAGACAGTGACTAAAGTTTTGGCAACCTGTGTGGTAATCATCTTCAGCTTTGTCAAAGCCCTTTTAATCTGAAGATGTCTGCCACACAGGTTGGCAAAACATCAGTCACTGACAACACAAGTCCTCTTTAAGACTGTACTCACCAGCCGATGTTATTACTTCACTTATGACGTGACTCTTGGGTTCAAGCCATTTACTGAAGTATATAGCTACCACTTGTATGTAATTTTGGCAGAATTTACTGGCAATCTGATGTTTATTTTTGAGTAGAAATTTCCCTGCTTTGTCCCACTTAACTGCAGAGCTGCAAATAACAGTCATTTATTGGACTATGTGCCCCTAAAATTTTCCCAGGTCTGACTAGATCCTGCCTGCATTTGAACATGGTGTCTGAGCCGATTAAATACTGCTAAAGACTATTACTCTGTTGCTGAATGTTTGCATAGTAATGGCAAAAAAGTCAATTAATGTATGTCTGACAGCGTTTCTGGTTTATTTGACTAAAAGGATGACATCAGACAAATAATATGTGAGTTTGTTTTTAAATTTTAGCAGAATTTGTTTTGTTTTTAAACTGCAGTATCCAGGACAGCTACGGCACCTTTGGATAGATTAAAAGTTTTATTACAGGTAAGGATACACTTTTACTGCATGGATTAACCTGAGATCAGGCTCTATTTTCGTTTGGCTTTGTAAATAACATTCCGGTGGGCATGGCGAAACGAAAAGAGAGCCCCAATTTCAGCGGTAGCTGTTAGAGAGAATGTATGAGAACTGCTCAAATTGGGCCTGATCTCAGGTTATGCATGGATCTACATCTTCCACATTTTTTCTATCTATGAGGTTTTAAATGCATAATATAAGGTCATTTTGACCAATATATTGCAATAGTATCACCATAGCTGAAGTAATTATTATTGCAATCACTGATTAGTATGATAGAAGTGATACTACTGACAAAAATACTGTTGACATTCTATTGCAATAGTAAATTTATAGTCTTATTCCACCAATATGTGTAATCAAACTACATGATCAATGGTTTTATGCTATGCAAGCTAAACTTGCTATTTACATCCTAGGTACAAGCGTCAAGTCAGAACAGAATAGGAATCGCCTCTGGTTTCAAGATGATGGTAAAAGAAGGAGGTGTCAAGTCTTTATGGAGAGGAAATGGTGCCAACGTAGTTAAAATTGCACCAGAATCAGCTATAAAATTTTTTGCTTATGAAAAGGTAAATGCTCTTAATCCTTTTAAGCACAGAAGTGAGCAAAGTGAAAATTCAACAAATTTTCAAATTCCATTTTGTAAAATGCTGAAAAACAAATACTATCTTTCCGTGAATAGTAGCTGGGGGTGATTGTTTCTTTTTTCACACCAAAAGGGGGCGATGTATTCATGAGAAGGCGATCATTAGGGGGAGGCGATTATTTCAAATAGTGCTCACTCGGAGTCGTGCCCTAAATACTTTATTCTATTTTTCCATTAAATAAAAAAAATAATCACATCAAATAAACTGAACATTGACATTTAAAGTGTTCCAAATTTGGTTCCTTGATTAATTTTCAATGTCAATGTCCTCGGCGTTAGAGCTTGAATTGTCTCTGATCAGTTTTGCTGGATCAGACTCCACTTTTGCTGTATCCTCCAAGTCTACCACCATGGGTATCCCTAGCGGGTGGGGCGGGGGTGATTATTTTAAACGTATCCGTCAAAGGGAGGCAATTATTTGAGGGAGGCTATTAAACGAGTAGTCTCCCTCGCAGCCGTTTTTAGTATCGTCACGCAACGCTCCTCCCCACTGGGGAGGAGCGTTGCGTGACGATACTAAAAACGGCTGCGAGGGAGACTATTAAACGAGGGACGGCTATTATTTGAGGAAATACTGTAGTACCATGTGAAAATACTGCTGATGGGAATTCATTTGAATGGTAACACTATAAGATTTCGTAGAGGCTCCTTCAAGACTTATCATTCAGTCTTGGAGTGTCAGTATTAAAGAAATTCACTAGAATTGCTGCAATGTTGGCTGTTGGCAGTTAGTCAACCGCCACCCGGTTAGCTCAGTTGGGTAAGTGCTGGGCTGCCGAGCTGGAGGCCGCTGGTTCAAGTCCCGGCTGGACCAACACTCAGGGTGTTTAAGTAACTGAGGAGAAAGTGCTGCCTTTGTAAAGACATCTGCAAATGGTTAGACTTCCTAGTCTTCTTGGATAAGGACGATAAACCGTAGGCCCCGTTTCACAATCCTTGCATATATAAATTCTGTGGGACGTTAAAGAACTCACACACTGTTCGTAAAGAGTAGGGGACGTAGTCCCCGGTGTGGTGGTCTATCTCTCATGGGGGGAGGAACTGTTACGGGCCTGCAGTAATTGGCGTCATGCTGTTGCGGTGACCCTGCCAATAATTGGCGACTCTAATAAAATAAAATAAAATAGCTATGTTGGATGGTCAAGGATCATCAAAGCATTCTAAGCCTTAGTTGATACAGTCGTCCTACTGTTTGGCACGAACTCAAGATCAGCAACATGAAAATTAAAACCACGTTAGTTGAAGTTTAATCTACATTTAAATTTTAGGTAGTGCAAATTTAGACAATTTCAGCCCTCACCAACTGGCCATGGAATTCTTTGAAATAAGAAAAATGACCTCTTGAAACTGTGGAAGGTTTAACGACGAAAACTAAACCCCTGGTGATTTACATTTTAGCCCCCTTTTCAAAATCATTATTGCCTTATTTTGAAATGTCATTTGTATAGGCAAAGAAACTGTTAGGTGCGGATGATAAACAGCTTGGTGTGAGTGAAAGACTAACAGCTGGTGCTATGGCCGGTGTAGCTTCACAAACATCTATATATCCACTTGAGGTAGTATTCCCTTATGACGTTTAATACTCTTAGTTTTATTGTTTTTTTTGACTGAAGTAATAGTAGCAATAAAGAATATTTTATGGCGTTAAATCCAAAAACTTTACATGTTTCACAGCCTGTGAAAACAGCCGTTTCTCCTCGCTCCCTGCGGCTAGGGAGCGACAGAAATTCCATACTGAGGACAAAAAATTTTTCTGTCTCTCCTGGCGAAACGTCCCAAGTGGCGAGGAGCGGGAGAAATTGCTGTTTTCGCAGGCGACATGTTTCAATGTAGCTGATTGTTTTAGACTTGATAGATAATGAACGAGTTTGCTGTTTTCCCCTTAATTAAGGTGTCTGCTGACTTTATAAAGGTTCGTTTTACATAAAAACGAGAACACTCGTGTGAAACATACTGAGCTACACTGTATACATCCAACACTTATTTAAGGGTGTCCGGTTATTCGCTGGTTCGCTCATTACGGGTTTCACTTCATTTATTTACTAAAATTAAAAAAGAAAGAGCCTTTCACAAAAAGGAAAAAATTATTCATGTTGTCTTGCGTTTGTAGGTATTAAAAACAAGGTTAGCTCTTCGTAGGACTGGTCAATACAGAGGACTCTTTCATGCAGCGTATGTGATATTAACAACTGAAGGAGTTAGGAGCTTTTATCGAGGATTGTTTCCAAGTCTTCTAGGAATTATTCCTTATGCTGGGATAGATCTTGCTATATACGAGGTAAGGCTTCATATCTGTTATTTTACATGGGAAGGCCATACTTTATCAAACGCCTTATCTTTATACCCAAGAGCTTGAAATGAAAATGAAAATTTTACCCTGGCCACCAGCTTATTAATTTTCTGCTCCTGAAACCTCCACATAATGGCCATCTGTACAAACTAGCAGAGGCCAGTATTTTATTATCCCAAATTGGAAAGTAGCCATTAGGTTATCTCTACTTGATGGCCTCACCACCACTGTGAAGTTTGACTTTTGTTTACGCCATTTCCTAAGAACATGTACAGGCCGCCGTGACAGTGATGACGCTCTTGCCACTCGCATAGTGGCCACGCCTATCAAGTTTTGTCCCGTAGATAGCTTTACTGTAGTTGTTTGACTGTTTGTAGAACTATTATATGAGAGAAGATCATCGAAGTTAGACGCAACTTTTGCAGTTGCGAAAAGAAAGCCTGAAAGAATTCAGGCTTGTACGGGATTCGAACCTTTGACCTCTGCGATACCGGTGCAGCGCTCTACCAATTGAGCTAACACGCCAGCTGGGAGCTGCTCGTTTGTAGAACGCAGTAATGTAGTCTCTGCTTTTGTAAATGGACCAGTGAGTGTGTGCTGATCAAACCTTTTTCTAGGTTTTTCCCTTCGCGTCGCCAGCGTCACAACTGAATAAGCATCATTCCCTTTGCTTCTAATTGTTGGAACTGTACGGAAAATGTCGGAATCAGGTTGCAATTACAGCCGATACTGTAACACAGTTATTATTACAACTTTGTTTAAGGTTTACTTCATAAACCCTTGAAGGTTAACCCACTTTAAGAGCAATAGTTTTCTTTGATTGCGATGATTGTCCATAGTTCTCATACTAATTAAACCCTTTATGCCCTAAGAGTGATCAGCATGAATTTCTCCTTATAATATCGATGCTTTAGAAAACAGAGTGGTCATGAGAATTGAGGTCGTGATCAGGGAAGATTAGTCTAATTGATGTTTCAACAAATTCTCCCCACCACTTCTATTGAAAAAGTATTGGGACAGTAAATGAGAATCTCAAGTTTGATATTAGGGTTTAAGAGGTTAACAGCGGAACACATTCAGTAAAACTGGAAATGGCTTTAAATTCTCGAGCCTGTGCGTCGGAGACTTAATATAACCCCAGCAGGTAACGTTGGCAGCGCCGCACGGAAACCTTGTTCTTAGCCCTTAAACAATTACCGGAAATACGTTTCGAATTTCCTTTCAACCTGATTGGCAAATTGACAATGGCTTTTTTAACAGGCCAATCATGTTGCGTACTCAAATCCTGGTACACATGTGGGGATCCAGAAGAAGGATTTCGGCGCTGACTCGCAGACGTACCTAACCAAAGGTTTCATTTAATCTGTGACGCAGGCTAGAAATTCCCAAACTTACGTGTTAGGCAGTAAAGAAGATTGTGACTGGCATACCAATCCATTTTTTTTTAAATTTTGCTTTGCAGACTCTTAAAAACCTTTACTTAAATTACCACAAGAACCAGTCAGCTGATCCAGGAGTGTTTGTGCTCTTAGCTTGTGGTACAGCGTCAAGCACCTGTGGACAATTAGCTAGCTATCCGCTGTCACTTGTTAGGACTAGATTACAAGCTCAAGGTAAAGTATTCACATTACCCCATCACTTTATTTCTTTTCTCGCTGTCAGCTTTCTTTACAACGATGAATGTTGAAGATAATGATATAGTCAAGTCTTTCAAGACAAATACTGTCAAGGCTAACCCTTTAAAAGTGCGTCTTCAGTTCCTGTGTTCAGCGGTCATGACAAACCGGAACTGGGCCGTTTCCGAGTAGACTGTTAACAGTCCCCTATTTTTCCGTAAGGTCGACGGGATGGAGCACCTACCCTTACGGGCGGCCATCTTAGTTTCAAATGTATCGAGTTTACGTAGGGGCGGGCGGGGGACGGTTTAATCCCGACAATTTTACATGAAAATAGAGGACTGGGAACAGTTTAATTTTCCGAGATACAGAAACAGCTTTTAAGACTCACAAATTTGCACTTGTCTCCAGGCCCCAGTTGTTTAAAAGGTGGGTAAATCTCTATCCAGTGAATAACGCAATTGATTTTCCAAATACTTATCCGCTAGATAGTTATTTACCCAGTGGATAGCGCTATCCAGCTTTTGAAAAACCGAGGCTGTGGACACTACCGCTGTCCAAGATTTACGTTCTTGACATCGTTTAATTATAGCCTTGATAGTAGGCGCATGAGCAATTTAGGACGCAAGTAAGATCGGGCCGCAATGGAGGAGGACGCGCGCTGGCCTCGCTCTTCTTGCGTGTCGTACTCGCGCGTGAATCGTTTATCTCTCGCCACAGTTTTTTTGTACACCTGCCACTCAGCAGCCTATCACGCAGGTGTTTTTAGGGGATTCGAATTATCTCCCTCCCCACTGGCCACTGAAATAAGAACCCCCTAAAAACCCTCCTTAGGGGGCTAGCCAGGCAGACTGTTATCGTTTCTCTTTGGCATCTTACTTATCATCGTGTGCACAATGTCCTGGAGACTAGAAAACCATAATAACCGAATGTTTATTTATTCATTTATTGATCTTAACAGCGCGATCCAAAGATGCCACCGGGGGAGATAACATGGTATCTGTCTTTAAAAGAATATTACAAGAAGATGGTCCGCGTGGACTTTATAGAGGTCTGGCACCTAACTTTATGAAAGTTGCGCCCGCCGTTAGTATTAGCTATGTCGTGTACGAACATTTGAGAATGAGCCTTGGAGTTATATAACAGCCGCAGGATAGCTTAGCAGAAGATCATAGTTTGTGGAGGGGAACTATGAGTTAATCAGATGCTGGACTGCTGTACGTTCGTAATTGGACAAAGTAAAAAGGAAGGCTTGTTTCGAGCAAGTTATGTCCCGTGAACGAGGAAGTAATAATTGTAATGACTTAACGCTTTAGAAATTTATATTAGATCTCACTTTTGTTTTACAAAACAATTTTAACATTCAATTCTGATTTCATGGTATTTTATTTGAAATATTTGCTTACTTTTGAGGCGACCAATCTATCTCAAACGGGGGTATTTATGCGGTTTTTCTAGTGGCAAATGTGAAAAAGGAAAAATACAAGAAGTAATTCCTTTTAATGTGCGCAATACATTTCTTTCAATTTGTTCACCGAAAGTGCCGGTTGCATTATAGTGACAAGTTTTTCTTGCGTGTATTATCGCTCACGAACGCGACAAATTTTTACGTTTTTGAAAGCAAATAGTTCCTCTGTTTGTTGCAACTTGACAATTTATCGCGTGAGTAATCGATGTGGTTGAAAGATGGCTATTTTTTTGGCTGTTTATGCGAAGAATCTTGGAGCATGTTGAACGTGCTGGATTTTTAACCAACGTCTTAATCAATTCTTCAATGTATTGCCCTCGGACTAACGTATCATCGAAGGCGATGTATGCTGTAAATAACTGTAGGCTGTAAAGCGTTTTATTTCTTTTCGATGGAAATTACCTTCCGTTGTAAGCAGTCAGTACGTTTAAGAAAGAAAACTGCAATAATCACAACTGCTGCAAGCATCTTGGTACCCGTACTGGTTTCCGTACTGTAAGAGACTGTGGAGTCTAAATCACGAACGTTCAGTGACTAATTTGGACGGTCTACACGGCTCGACTCTTGAAGCCCATGTGTACAGCCAGCTTCTCCCCTCAAACAATTAGGGAGTTTAAGATACCACTACGGCGACGGCCACGAAAACGTCTCCTAAAGAGTAAATTTGCATTCTTTATATCTCTATCGCGATTAGTTCAATTCGCTTACTTTGTGAAATGCAAGCGAACTCTCACGGAGCCGAATTCCAAACAACCATATTCAAGTTCAGATAGAGAAAGAAAATTTCGTCGTCGCTTGTTTACGTCCCCTGTAAAACGTGATATTAGGCATTTTAACGTCATAGTCATGTAGTGACGGTAAAGAAATGTACAAAAAAGCGTTATGCACTTGCAAAGTTGTTTTTCTGCCTATTCAACGTATTGCTTTTTTGACGTTCTCGTTGACGTCGCCGTCGTGTTATCTTAAAAAAATATCCCTGAAATCGGGGAGACGGTCCCTTTCCCCGATTTTGTTTGAGGGGAGGAGGCGGCTGTACACAGGGTGGACCTTTGTTACATGTTGTTAGGAGAACCCTTCGAATTCCTTTTTTTTTTTTTTTTTGGACTGGGAGGCCTTTGCCATTGATGATTATTTCGTATTTCTCACAGTATTTACCATATCTTTTCATAATGTGAACATGTATTTGCAGGCTGTGAATTCGATAATGGTATGTTTTTTCAAGAGTTGCATTATTGCTGAATCGTCAAATATGAAATAAATTCCACTTTTCTAGATGCCAATGTTCATAAATGTTTGACTTAGTCAGGAATCTTGGTGATTTTTAGAAAAGCGCCTTTGAAAGGTTTATGAACATTTGAAATTTAAAATTCGGGAAAATAAGTAAAGATTTGTAAGATGTAATCAGTTTTTCTTCACTGTAAATTTTCTTTTAAATATTAAGGGAATTTGACGTGCTCACTAATTATATTGGTGTCACGGAATGTTACTTATGATAATTTTTAACTCGCGTAAGTTTTTCTGGGGAGTATTTATTTTGAGAATTATTTTTTAGCACATTAGAGGCCCGAGCCAATGGTAGTGGTTATCTAAACCTCTAATCCTTAATAAACAAACACTTCTAGATAGATACCACGTTAGTTTAAGTCTGTCTGTTTCATTGTAGCTCATTGTCTCTCCTATGATTATCTAATACTGACTTCAAAGTATTTAACCAAGGCCTGGTTCAGACGCCGAACTTTTCATGAGCCGAACCTAATACATTGAATGAAGTACACGAAAAGTTCGGCGTCTGAATCAATTAGGAACGCCTGTTTCAATTTGGAACGGGTCAGCCGTTCTTTTCGCCCAGCCCGGCCGGGAATTTCGCCTTTGGAGCGACTTTGGAACGGCTTTGATTCAGACGCCGAACTTTTCATGTACCGAATCTACTGCATAATTATTATAACGTATTCCGTAAGCAGTTTGACCGAAATGGGCATATTTTGCTTTTAAACTTAGTTCATCTGCAATTAACATCGGCGTCTGAATCACTTCAGCCGGTCTTAATAATTTGGGTCAGCCTTAATTCAAATTAGGTTCGGCTGATGAAAACTCGAAGCAATCGGATGAAATTCAGGCTACTAGAGCGAGTGATTGAAAACAAAGGAGACGAATTTCGTCGAAAGAAAAACATGAAAGTTTCATAGCGGCGGTGAGAAAATGAGAAATTACACTAATCTTGTCAGGACTTAGTTTGCGACCTGCTTGATTTATTAAGATGAGGTCATCGTCTTTGGGAAACGTACGCAGAGGGACTTTAATTAGTGGAGGTTTTAAAAAATGGAACAATTAGAAATAGGTAAATTTCTTTTGTATGAAAATGGATCGTTAAACACGAAGAACGCTCGGCATAATCAATAAAAAAAACTTTGAAGATTGTATCACTCGTTGAACAAAGATACAGTGACACACCTCAGAAGGGGACGGTATCTATCATATCGCTCCCTATTAAAAAGGCGGTACTCTTGTTAAAAAGTATCTTGGTGAAATCTAAGGAGATATCTGAGCATGTTGGTTTTCTTGTGCATTTCTTAGGACTTATTTAGTTTCAACTTTCAGCTTCGCTTTCATGTTAAATTCATTTTCACTGTTGTTGACTTCTAAAAACATACCTATAACTAAAAAGGTATACCACAATTTGAAACCACGAACTACCTAGCCATAAAGAGGGTGAAAGAATCTGTCAAAATCCATCATCAAACTTTTTCTGTCCACTGGGTTAAGCAAATTTCCCTACCTCCCAGACAAACGATTTATTCATCCATGGAAATTTTTGCTTGTCTTAGATTTCAAAGGGATAAAATTAGATTCCTTTCACCCTCTTGCTGGTAGTATTGAGCACACCAAATCAACCTTCTTATACGTATGTCATTAAATTTGAGGTGCTCTAGTTCAATATAGGGATTGTTTCTGTCGGGCTTCTGTATGAAAATTGCATATTATTATAGTTTATTTCCGTCCTTTCAATATTCGTTTTCTGACATTACCTCAAACAAAGTGTAAGTGCACTCAGTTACAGGGACTCAGTCCACTCGAATAATGAAAAAACAGATAGTCTGAATCCTCCGTTTTCATCCATTCAAACAAATACAGTAAAATGCCGTTTTTTAAAAAAACTGCAAGTTTGGCGAGAGGTTTTGTAAAGACGCGTTTTACGTGAGCGTTTTCACTGGACGGTAGGCCATACCAGAGAAAACAAAAACGGAGACTGTGAACAGGGCTTAACATAAACATCTTAACATAATAAGGAGGTTAGTATTTTTTCCTGCTTATGTGGCTCCCATTAGGATCTAGAGTTTCCAAGCATAGGCTTTTCCTCTTCTTCAGCAAGACCAGAATTATTATCTCTAACCCTGAAAACATATAAGGGACCACTGTTAGGAGATGTGATATTATTTTCCTCCATGTGTTACAATGCAATGATCCTTAGGATCAACAGTGCTCTCTTATCTGCGGTCAAACAATTAATGGGAAATTTGCAAAAGCTAAGAAAGGAGCTAATGCGAATTGCATTTCATCGGTTCAAAACGTTTTTTTATATTTTTGCGGTTTGTTTTTGTTTTTATGGAGACCAGCCCCCGAGATGGATGGGCCACCCTGAAATAAAGTTTAATTTTTTCACTATACGTTACAAAGAAAAGGAAGTGCCAATTCAGCCCTGCAACCCAAAGTCTGATTCAGCCCCTCCTGGATCCATTTGAGCACAATTTGAGCCAAAACAGCCACATCAAAAGACTTTTACAGCCCACGCTGGGGCACATTTCAACCCTTGGGTCCAAATTATCCCTAGGTAATTGGCAGTATTAGTCCTGATTTAAGGGAACCAAATTAGACTCAAAAATAGGACTGTATTTAATGTTACTCTCCGAATCGGGCCCATTTTTAGGGCTAAAACAGATCTTTCTGGTTTACTGTGTGCATGCGCTTGACAACTGAAACTACTGATTTGTCCTTGCCATTTCTGAACGTAATCTTGCCTGAGCACGAAGCATCTTTTAAGAAGATTATGAAAGAAATTAAAAGTTTGTTGCTTAACTAATTTAATTTTATACAACTTTATACAACTTCGCCTTGTCATGTGGTTGCAAACCAAGTAATCTTGCCTGAGCACGAGGCATCTTTTAAGAAGATTATGAGAGAAATTAAAGGATTGTTGCTTAACTAATTTAATTTTATACAACTTTATACAACTTCGCCTTGTCATGTGGTTGCAAACCAAGTAATCTTGCCTGAGCACGAGGCATCTTTTAAGAAGATTATGAGAGAAATTAAAGGATTGTTGCTTAACTAATTTAATTTTATACAACTTGGCCATTCTCCTCTTAACATAAGTGTTAATGGAATCCCACAAATTAAAACAAAAAGCACAGCAGTTGTTTCACTACGGTGAAAATGTGACTGCCACTCTGGTGGAACACTTGCAGACGAATTTTGAATAACAGGTAGCCTGAAAAACCCTTGCAGTTTTTTCAAAGGATTCTGCTGTTGATGCCATGGTTCGTTAATAGTTTTTGGTACCATTCTTGTGTCCCCAGTTAGTACGAAATAATTCCATGTGACCATTCCTTGTCACGTAAAGGACAAAACATTTTAAGTCATAAGCATAAGTCAAGAAAGTAAGCTTTTGTTCATGTCTTGACGACCTCTTTGACTCGTTGTTGTATTCCGAGTCAAAAGGACTCCTTGAACAAGAGAGCTCCAAAGAGGAGAAAGAGGCATCGTCTCCTGCTGAGCGTGACGTCACGGCGGCCATGTTGGCGGTCAAGAACAAACACATTTTTCTCTTCTGGGAACTAAACTCTATTTTCATGTAAATTTTTCGAGAAAAGATTCTATTGTTTTGACCTTCAACATGGCCGCCTTGTCATGTGGTTGCAAACCAAGAATTAAACCGGAAGTCTCATACTAGTCTTGGCTAATAGGGGCGTGTTTAAAACACGAAATGTCGAAATGGCGAAATGACGAATTATCGGAATGACTAAAATTATTAAGAAATAATACATATTTTTGAAAGTGAAGAATGATCATCGCAGTGAATTTTCCAATTTAAGCAATTGGAAAGAAGAAGCCTGAAAAAAGCCACAGTTCAAATATGAATTATTTCATATACTTCACATCAATACATATTTTTCTTTTACTGGTTTCCTCCCCACTACTATTTAGGTGGAGTTGTCACGCGCATTCTCTGCTATTGCGCAGCCATAATCTGATTTGAAGGCTCTGGTCTGGTGACGAGATTGTTGTCACGCAGAGCTTGCGTGATGTGCGCGCGTAAGCTTATCACACGCGCCGTAAATAGCTCGTCCGTGGGGAAACGTATGTGAAGATTAAGGAGTAGAAAGTCCAAATCCAAGAAAAAATTGCTAACAGTTCTACAAGCGCGAATAAACAGGGTTTGTAATTTTGTGCGAGTATGTCCTAATTATGAACAGGGTATCACCTGCAGGGTTGGTCTAATTTGCTCGATGAAATTTGTTTTCACTCCAAGAATACAAAGGCAATAACTCTAAAGTGAATTTTCTTTAACAAGACGACGTGCAGTTTGTCCTTTGTCCTAAACAATATGTAATAAAATTGAGAGTGTTGTCCTAAACAGGGCACGTATTAAAGGATTTTTTGTCCTAAACTGGGTCAGGTTTCAAACCCTCAGCGGTCCACTTACACCCGAATATTGCTCGAGTACCACCCCTTCTCCCCGAGGGGCAGAAACTGACACCATTGTGAAAACCGAGAAGCCCCTGGGAAGAGGAGAGACCCTTGGACCGAGAAAAATCACGTGACTGCGATAAGTCACGAACAGAAAGTGACAACAACATGATTAGTGAGGTTTTGCATGCTGAGCAGTGTTTTGCCTGTTCATAGAAGGCAAAGAAATAACAACTGGACACGACAAAAAAGCAGGGAGTGGGCTCCTGAGGGAGTACCTTTTTTTTACTGTTTAGAAAAGTCATCTCGTCATTTCGCCATTTCGTGTTTTAAACACGCCCAACTTGGAACTCTCTACCTGAGAAAATTAGAACGGAGTCCACTCTGGCTGGTTTTAA